GGCAAACATTCCGAAGCCAGGCAAACCAAACCCTTTTTGGCCCTATATCCCAACCCAACAGCCCCTCAAAACCCTAGAACCCCAGAGCTCAGCAGCCCAAAAGCTTTGCCGTAGAGTTCCCCCCTCCCCTGCTCCTGCCTCCCAGGGCAGTTCACAACCACCGACTCGCCGATCTTCTGAGTTCAAAGCAGGCGCTCTCTCAAAGACAGCGACAAAACGTGGTTTAGGGTTTAGGGTTTAGGGTTGAGGGTTTAGGGTTTAGGGTTTAGGGTTCAGGGTCAAAGAGACCAGCAGAGCGGTGACCTTTGCGTGTGGAAGGGACCCTTCGCAATAGCCACCGGGCCTGCAATGGTAGCTTGCTGAAGGTCTCCATGCAGTCCTTTCTTGCAAGAGAAGCAAGCGTGCTGCGTCTTGCTGCTCTATACAGCTTTAGATCTTGTATAAAGCGTATCGACTGAGAACCCGTGGTCCTGGACGATGTGCTCTGGGGGCAAAGCACGGCCTTTGTGCGATTCTACGTACTTTCAGCACGTGCAGCTTGGTGTCTGTTCTAAACAACCGAGCGGAACTACTTTTGAGCGGATGTTAGCTAAGCAGCCCTGTAACTGTAAAGCGCTTCCGTATGGTTTGAGCTCGGGCCCGTTCGGGCCGCTAATTTTGGGAGCCCACCTAGCAACAGCATGATTGACAAAGTGTAGAAAAGGAATCAGCTAAGCCTGGGAATATCTTGGAGGGCCCCAAAGGCCTGCAGGGTTTAGGGTTTAGGTTTTGGGTTAGGGTTTAGCCTGCACATAGCACATCACGGTGTGTCGTCTGAGCCCACGTCTCATGTCGACTGTGTCTGTCGGATAAGCTTGCCAAGCCTGCACAGCGGAAGAGAAGCCAGGAAACTTGGCCACTTAGCCAAGGGGGAACTCCACAGTGCACACATCGGAGGCGTCTGGAGAGGACCGAAAATGACACTGCATCTCGCTGCCAAGCCGTTCAGCTGGAGTGACGTCCGGTTGATTCATGACGGCTCAAGCAACGGCAGCATTGACACGGAAATGAAATTATACACCGACACCCACATGTGAGCAACGAGAAAGTAGGCCGTACAAAGTAAACTGCCCGCCTCACCCTTGAGCCCAGTGGCCGAGATCGAGACTGCGACATCGGACTCCTTGACAAGGCCCCGGCGTTGGATCCCCAACTTTCTGCATCCATCTGAAACACTTTCGGTGCATTACGGCACGCGAAGTCTGGTAGTTAAGTCTGTGCCGTATCCCACAAGGCAGAGCTGCACCCCTCCCCCCCGCCCCGCTCCCGAAGGACCCCCCTCCCCAAAGGAACAAGAGCTCTTGGCCATTGGCCACATGAGACTTTCCGAAGCCCTAAATCCCAAATCAACCCAACATGCTAGGACCCGTAGGAGACCATTCATTGACTGTAGCCTTGGCTTCTGGGGAGGGGGCCCCGCCAGAGTAGGACTCCAAACCGGCCTGGGAAGCAACATGTGCTCACGAATCCTCCACAAAGCTTTCTGCAGGATGTACGCTCGTATGCACACGCAGGCACACGCAGAGTATCTTAGTCATGCAAACGTGCGTATGCGTACCCATGTGCCTTGTGTACTTGCTTACTTAGTTAAAGGGGTTGAAAGCAAATCATAGTGGGTTCGGAATCATGGAGCTGCATTCGTTGCTCAAGCAAAGCTTAGGAAGCTTCACTGTCTCGTCAAAGACCTTTGCTGGATCAACTTGGCGGAACTTGCCCTGAAGTGCAATCGAGTTGCTGGTTTGCCTGCCATTCGCTGGGCTTTGACCGGCGCGGCCTCCCACTTGAACTTTGATTTCTTCTCGCTTCTGCACTTCCGTCACTTCAACTCAGAGGTAGATGTCCCAAGCCCTGTGACAAGAGCAGCTCCAATAGATTTTGACACCTTGTTGCTAAGGCTTTAACGGCATGATGCATCTCACACTGTCCCTCGATGTACATGTGGTATGCAGCTTTTCTGCTCGTGTTGAGTGTCGACACCTGTGTCAGACTTGGCCTTTGAGAGGACCATCTCCCCACCATGGACAGGCAGGATGTTGTCCACAATGGCTCCGAGACCTGAACTGACACACTTCTTCCTAGGAGGCTCTGGGCATTTCTAGCTTTCATCTTCCTTCCTTCCCATATCCTGCGCCTGCCAGAGGCCTTGGCAAACGGGCGAGCCAATTGGGTGCACGCCGGTGCCGACAGCCACAGCACTGGGCCTGAAAGAGAGCAAACGCAGTGAATGTCAAGCGTGTATGGGCCACATATAGGGCCAGGAAGGCATGTTGGGATGTACTTCCAAGCAGGAGGTTATGAAGTCACTGCCCGCAAATTCTTGGGACATCTGAAGGTACCTACACCACATCATGACCGACGAACCTCTCGCCCCCTCAGTTGCAAAGTGAAGCGCCTCGAACTTGCTTCTGCAACCAAAGACGAAGTAACATGTCTCCCTTCGAGCCATCATATCCACAACCTGTTGTGATTATCCCTTGCGTCTAGTATAATCATAACTCCTAGTCTCAACAGCTACTCCGTGAATGACTTGAATATCTCGGAGCTGGGCTCACGTTCACAGTAGGGTGGACATACCTCAGACGGTGGACAGATCATCACAGTCGCCAAGAAAGCTTGTACGCTTTTGACCGAAGCCCTAAACCCTAAACCCTAAACCCTATATGAACCCTAAACCCTAAGGCTTAGAGATTGCGAGAGGCTTTTGCGGAACGGAAAGGAAGCGCCCAACCCTTGATGCCAAAAACCATCTGAGCTCGGCGACTACACGGGCCATCGTCCCCTGGCAGGCGTGGGGACGGTAAACCCATCTAGGGTTTCGGAAGATTGCACCACTACAGCTTTCTTTCACTTATGCATGTTCTGATCTGTTCCGGATGCCGAACGGCCGCCCGAAAACACTGGAGATCTTCTACTTGACACGCGAGATTGTGCAGACACTTTGGCATGTCCGTGCATGAGTAGAAGGTATTCATACCGTTACAGAGCAAGCATACCACGACTTCCAGCATGTTATATTTTGTGACATTTCTGCCAGGAACTTATCTGCCTGCCATCTCACGTCGTTGCCGGTGGAGAGACAGGACAGCACCCTCGGGAACAACTGCTGTTGGCCAAGGTGGGTGTCCAAGGTTGGGATGTTCCCCCTTGCACTAACAATCCTTAATTGGGATTCTCGTACCCCTATTGTGAGCCCTATCAAGGACTGTTGACTGTTGGTATAAGGGGAACATCCCAAGTCCAAGGGTTTACTCTGCATCTTGGCTGTTTCCAGCTTACCCTACTGGCTCTTAGTGGGGAGTGAGGATAATCAGGTGCCTTGTAGAATCCTTCATATAGGGGGATATAGCGTGCCCAATTCCTCGCTACTAAGAAACAGTAGGGTTGGTGCCATGCGTCGGCCACAATGAACCGCCGAAGCAGCAATTGCAGCTGGGTGACTCAGGTGCCCTGAGTTATATGAAGTAGGGTTTATATTTCTTGTACCCCCAAAAGGCCACCAAGTATATACACCAAAAACAGAAATATATACCCTACTTTATATAGGTTTAGGGTCCGACACTCGCCCTTAATCCCTAAACCCTACACCCTGGACACCTAAACCCTAAACCCGGAACCCGAAACCCTAAACCTTAAACGCCGAACCTCACAACCGCCGCGCAGCTGAGCCCTGGACTGAACAGCCTTCGGCTCTCGAATGTCGTGCGAGAGGATGGCGTCCTCGGGTTCGGGGTTTAGGGCTTAGGGTTCAGGGTTCAGGGTTCAGGGTTTAGGGTTGAGGGTTTGGGGTTTCGGGTTTTGGGGTGTAGGGTTTAGGGGGCACATGACTGAGGAAAGGTTGGAAGTGCAATCCAGATGCCACATGCTGCTATGAACACCCAAAAATTATGATACTCCGTGCTATCGGAACCCCAAAGCATGCGACAGGGAGGGGGGAGGGTGCCTGTAAGGAGCTTTCCATCGTATTTGGGCATATGCTAGCCATCGCTGCCCCATATTTTTGGAAGCCCCTAAACCCTAAACCCTAAACCCTAAACCCCCAAGCATGCATTGAGACTTCGACCTCGGCAAAGAATGAAGAGGCAGAGGGTCCAGCCCGAGAACTCCTCTGCGGGATGCACTCAGATTGGTTTAGGGTTTGGGTTTAGGGTTTAGGGTTTAAGGTTTAGGGTTTAGGGTCTAGGGTTTAGGGTTTCGGATTTAGGGTTCAGGGTTCAGGGTTTAGGGTTTCGGGTTTAGGGTCCAGGGTTCAGGGTTTAGGGTTCAGGGTTGAGGGCCGTCTTGTCATGCTTACGACTGTGAATCGCCCTAGTCACAGCTCTAGCCCTGCCGTGCTCCCGCCGACAAGGTTTCATGGGCCCCTCAAACCTTTAAAAGGGTTCTGAAGTATGGAAGAAAAAGGCAAGCTTGCAAGTAGCACGGTTGCCTTGGGGAGGGTTTGAAGCTTTAACGCTTCCGGGCTTTCGGGTTTTAGGGTTCAGGGTTTAGGGTTGCAGGTGAGTCTACCCCACAGATCCATGCGCAGTTTAGCAACGGCCAAGCGGCCTCCATTTGTAGGAGATGTGGCCTTGTCGTGGAGGGCCCTTAAAATCCTGTCAAACACATACCGAAATATCATCCTCTTGAACCCCATAAGGGACAAGACAAAATATCCCAAAAGGGCCCACCTAGCGACCATATCAAAGCAAGATCGACACCATTTTCTAACTCGATGGCCCGCGGGAAGCCTCGGGATTGAAGCGCTGCAGCTTGGGCTTAGGAATTTTCTAGGGTTTAGGGCTTAGGGTGTAGGGCTTAGAAGGTTCAGGGCTTAGGGTTCATAACGATCTAAACCCAGGGCTTAGGGGTTTAGAGCTTAAAGGGCTCCTATAACGATCTAAACCCCAAAGCCGCCTAAACCCTAAACCCTAAACCCTAAACCCTAAACCCTAAACCCTAAACCCTAAACCCTAAACCCGAAACACTCAGGCTGCGATCATCTCAAGTGCCCGCTGCAGCTGCCGCAGCGCCGCTGGGAAGCCTTCTCGGCCCAGACCGAAGCCTGGAGAAGGGCTTCGGGTTCAGGGTTTGGGGTTGAAGGGTTAAGGGTTAAGGGCTTAGGGTTTGGGGTGGTTTAGGGTTTAGGGTTTTGGGTTTAGGGTTGAAGGGTTAAGGGTTTAGGCCTTAGGGTTAGACCGAAAGCCTGGAGAAGGGCTTCAGGTTTAGGGTTTAGGGTTTAGGGTTGAAGGGTTAAGGGTTTAGGGCTTAGGGTTAGACCGAAAGCCTGGAAAAGGGCTTCGGGTTTAGGGTTTTGGGTTGAAGGGTTAAGGGTTAAGGGCTTAGGGTTTGGGGTGGTTTAGGGTTTAGGGTTGAAGGGCTTCGGGTTTCGTAGGGTTTGGGGCTTGGGGCTTTAGGGTTTAAGGGTTAAGGGTTTTGGGTGGTTTAGGGTTTAGGATTTAAGGGCTTCGGGTTTCGTAGGGTTTGGGGCTTGGGGTTTAGGCTTTAAGGGTTAAGGGTGTCGGGTGGTTTAGGGCTTAGGGTTTAGGGTGGTTTAGGGCTTAGGGTTTAAGGGCTTAGGGTTTGGGGTGGTTTAGGGTTTAGGGTGGTCTAGAGTAGGAATTCGGGTTCGGGGTTAAGGTTCAGGGGCTTGAGTGTTAGTTCAGGGCTCAGAGTTTAGGGTCTGTTGGGTTTCAAGCCGGAGGTCCAGGAGAACTAAACGCCAAACCCTACGAAAAGCCTAAACCCTCTAAACCCTAAGCCCTAAAAACCCCTCAACCCTAAACCCTATAAACCCTGCAACCCTAAACAATAGAAATATCCCCGGGGTACTTAGCGGCTCTGCTTAGGCTCCCCTAGTGGCTGAGGGTTTACATGCCCACTACCATGGCTTGCTCCTCAAGGACTATAGGATTGCAGCTCCAGGGCTTAGGGTTTATAGGATTTCAGGTTTAGGATGGAGGGGCTTAAGGACTGTTGGATTGCAGCCTTGCGGTTGAGAGCTCAGGGTTTAGGGTTTAGGATTGAGAGGCTTAATGTGCCACCAGCCACCCCCATAAGCCCCCATATTCTGGCTTTCGGCGGTCCTCTCAGCACTCGCAAGCCCATAGGTATTCTCTCGTGGCAATCGCAAAGGCTGAACCATCTGGGCACCCAACTATGTATTTCTGCGTGTGCGATTCCGCTTGCAAGCGTGTGGCGCACGCAGGGGAAGCTGTCAAACTCAAAGAAGTCGCTGACGACCATGCAAACGCTGTGCTCCTTCCTCAGATGTCGTAGCAGACTCCAGAAGGACAAGCAAGCCTCGTGCCATGATGTGAGGCTTGGGGAAGTGAAATCCTTTGGCTAGCTGTTCGGGAACGACAGCCTGGCACTCTAACATCCCAAGCGGAATCACGTCATCCTGATTCTTGGGACTTCGCAAAGACCCCGTGTCCAAGGCGTCCCTGGGCTGAAAAACGACCACGCCAAGGCACGCGAGAAACTCAGCAAGGGCTGAGGCAGATTCCAGCTGAGGTAGGGCGCTTCCGGTGAGTCCGCCTGTGCACGGGCGACTTGTGCGACTTTTTTTTGTTTTTGGAAACCGTCTCTTACCTTCATCTCTCTCACTCTCTCTCTCTCTCTCCCTCTCTACACCAAGCAGATTGTAAGATTACTGCTTGCAGCCTACACAAGTCAACCCCATAGACCTAGTGGCAGCCGCAGCCGTGCAAAGACCACGGCGGCCCGCCACTTCGTCAGGCGCTCATTGTGCTGATGTTGGTTCAGCGGGTGGAACCACTGAGGCAAGCTCTCCAAAACCTGGGCATGAAGAGCTTTTGGATTTCTTCCCTGCAGCAGAACAGACAGAATAGGATAGAATGTATAAATGTAAATAAGTAAATCAATATATATATATATATATGAAGCGTGCAAACCTAGTACACATGTGCCTGTGCGGCAAAGTCGCTGTCTGCAGCAACTGGTAATTCTTCTCGGCGATGCCCCGGTTACGTGACAAGAAGGTCTCCGGGCTTCGTAGTGTTATGATGGACAGGATCTCACTGTGCGGGGGCAAGCAGAGCGTGGTGTAGTCCTGCATCAACTAACGCCGCAGCCGATGCTGTACATCATTTATATACTTATATATGTGTGTACATATACATATATTTAAATATACATAAAGACATATGTATTTATATCTATATATATATATATGTTATACACATGTAAAAAGAAGTTTCCATAGTAATCGAACATGCACGATAATACGAGCCTTTTTTCAGAGGGGAAGGGTGCTTGTCTACCTATGCCTCTTGGATTGGAGGGGCGTGTACACAAACTGAGAATTACAACCCTCAACCCTAAACCCTAAACCCCAGGCCCTAAACCCTACACCCATGGGTACTGGAGCTCCCGCATTGAGGTGATGCTGTCAAAGTGCTCCTTGTTGGAGCCTCGGCAACGGAGCATCGAGCCCTGGAACACCTCACAGAATGGGTAGGGGGGTCGGGGTGTAGGGGGGGTAGCAAGCATATCACGAACGCACTATGGCCTTTGGCCTTCTCCACATAAACAGTCTGAATAATACTACTTCTCGCCATGAGTCACAGCAGCCAGCCCATACGCAATCCTGGCATGCCCCATGGCTTGGACAAGCCAGACCTTCGGGCAAAGATAGCAGAGATGGGGTGTTGCCGAAATGGGGGTAACCTTTCGGAGTTCCTATGACAAGGATTATGCTATTCTGGGGGGTATTTAGGGTACGCCCTATTTTGGGAAATACTCAAATTGGTTCTCCTAATCTCTCATCGTCCAGCTCATGCTTTGTTCTCAGGAGCACTGCTGTCTTAAATTGAGCTCTTCGTGGCTGTCAAGCCGGTATTAGGCTAAGACTACGGGCTTCGTGCGCACGATACAGCAACCTTTGGATGAAGAGGATTGGCTTGAGTCGAGGGGCTTGGACCGGTTCGCTCTTTTCTGGAGACAGATGTCTCAAGGCTTATTGTTGCTGATTGTTCCATTGGGCTGCTAAGGCTTTCGGTTTGTAAAACAACTGGCATCAGAGTCTTGCAGGTGGAGATGAGCGGCAGCACAACGGCATTCCGTTTGCCCACCATGCTCGGGGCCGGCGAGCCAATCATTTCACCATACCTCGACGTCTTGTGTCAGTCCGTAAAGCAAGCTCTTTGCAGCTGCAACGCAGCCTCCTCCGTCATCGTCGTTTCTTTACTAACCTGAAAACCTTTCATTCCGCAGCCGAGATGCATCTCATCGGAGAAAAGCACTGGTGGCTCGGCTTGCGGCAGCTTTGATAGCAGCTCGGTGACTACGTCCAACTGGCTTTGGTCGAACGCAGCTCCCGTGGGGTTGTGGGGCGAGTTGATCATCAGCATCTTCAGCGGCGCTTGGGCTGTGATGTTCCTTAGCCCAAGGAGGATGCCCGCAAACACATTATAACCCCAAAGCCTATACCCCTCAGGGCCAAAGGTGTTTGGGGCCCCGGGGGCTTGGGGTTTGGCTGTCGGATAATATGTGCTTAGGGTTTGGGGGTTTGGGGGTTTAGAGCTTAGGGTTCAGGGTTGCTGCGAGACTCCGAATTGCACCTGGGGTTTAGGGTGCTGGGTTCACCTCATAATTAAAAGCCCAAGATTCTGGTCCAGAATAGATTGCAGGTCGCTCAGCTTAAACTCCCAGAAGCCTTTCTGGTCGAAGTGGGGCACCCATGGCAGGATGTGGCAGCGCTTGCTGCGGGCAATCTCATACAGCGCCTGGCAAGCTAGGAACCTCGCAACCCCTTGCCTCCGACGCTGATTGGGACTTTACGAACATCGGGGAGTCCGAATAGACCCCCAAATAGTAGAATTCCCTTATGATAGGGACCCAATAAGGAAGGTACCCCTAATTTCGGAAATTGGGTTCCGGGAAAACAAGCACGCTCGCGGTGACCTATCCGGAACATGTATGGCTCGCTCAAAAGGCCAGCTTCTCGGCAAACAAACCAGGATTGACATGGAGGCGCTTGAATCCCAACCTAAACCCTAAACCCTAAACCCTAAGCCCTAAACCCTAAACCCTAAACTGCCTGGTATGCAGGCATCATTGCCACGATCCGATCGCCTTCTGAAAGGAGTGTGGTCATGGCCGCGAAGATCCCCTCCACGGGCACGCAGGTTGTGATCCTCAATCGAAATACGTATTTAGAAGATATACTGATATAAGAATGACGAAGTCGTAGCAGAATATAAGAAAGTAAGAAACAACGAACATAATCATGCAGCATTTATGTAATCATATACGCAGAAAAATGTCCAAGCCTCGCAAACCACCACTGAGACACCAATCAACTTCAACACCTGGTTTCTGGTCTGAGGCTCTGCACAGGGACCTGCGCCGGGTTGCCCAAGCGATCGGCATAGTGCTTCCTCCGGTGCGCAGGGTTTGAGGGTTTAAAGTTTATAGGGTTTGTAGAACTTAGGGGCTTCGTATAGTGAACAATGATGCCGAGAGCAAGAACCTTCCAATCAACCCTAAATCCTACTACACCAGTCCTGATTTCTTCCAAGAGTGTCGGATGACCCAGAGACTCCTTGGCGGAGCAGGGGCGCTACGCTCCCGCAGGGTCGTGATATTCGGGCGTTACTTGGCCAGTGATGGCAAATTCCTAGGCAAACACCCTAAAGACCCCATATGTGCACACAATTTATAAATCAACATATATATACATATATACATATGCTGTATACATACATATATATATATGCTCACCCCCCCCCCCCCAATGGACCCACCGCGGATGGCAGCCGAGTCCTAGCCAGATCAAGGCAAAAAACAACAACAAAACAAGAAACTAACAAAAACCAACAAACCAAAAAAATCAAAAAAACCAAAAAAACCAAAAAAACCAAAAAACCAAAAAAACCAAAAAAACCATCTTTTCCAAAACTATGGGGCTGGGGCCTCCAAAAGATGGTTTTTTTGGTTTTCTCGAGAAAAAGATGGTTTTTTTGGTTCGAAACCATCTTTTTCTCGAGAAAAAGATGGTTTTTGAGCAGCCGCTCTTCGAAAAACCATCTTTTTCTCGAGAAAAAGATGGTTTTTAGAGATCTTACCCTGGAAAAACCATCTTTTTCTCGAGAAAAAGATGGTTTCCGGAGGTCTTGTCCTGGTAAAACCATCTTTTTCTCGAGAAAAAAGATGGTTTTTGGAGGTCTTGTCCTGGTAAAAACCATCTTTTTCTCGAGCGGCTGCTCAAAAACCATCTTTTTCTCGAGAAAAAGATGGTTTCGAACCAAAAAAACCATCTTTTTCTCGAGAAAACCAAAAAAACCATCTCTTGAAGGCCCCAGCCCCATAGTTTTGGAAAAGATGGTTTTCTTGGTTTTTTTGGTTTTCTCGAGAAAAGGATGGTTTTTTGGTTCGAAACCATCTTTTTCTCGAGAAAAAGATTGTTTTGAGCAACCACCCTTCGAAAAACCATCTTTTTCTCGAGAAAAAGATGGTTTTACCAGGAGAAGACCTCCAAAAACCATCTTTTTCTCGAGAAAAAGATGGTTTTACCAGGACAAGACCTCCGGAAACCATCTTTTTCTCGAGAAAAAGATGGTTTTTCCAGGGTAAGATCTCTAAAAACCATCTTTTTCTCGAGAAAAAGATGGTTTTTCGAAGAGCGGCTGCTCAAAAACCATCTTTTACTCGAGAAAAAGATGGTTTCGAACCAAAAAAACCATCTTTTTCTCGAGAAAACAAAAAAACCATCTTTTGGAGGCCCCAGCCCCATAGTTTTGAAAAAGATTGTCTTTTTTGTTTTTTTGTTTTTTTTTGGTTTTTTTGGTTTAAAGATGGTTAAGTTTTGGGGGTTTAAGCCTCATGCACTACAGGGTTATAAGGTTCTAATCCTATAGGTATTGCCTTAACCTTTAACCCTAAACCTTTAACTTTAAACCCTGCAGGGTTAACCCCGTGAGAAATTTAGAGATAGACCCCGAAAAGACCCTAAACCTTCTTACAGGGTGTAATGGTTTAAAAACCGATAGGACATGTATACCTTCAGCGCCTGTAGGGTTCAAGCCTTTGAACGTGCTAGACCCCTATAGGGTGCTAAGGTTCTGACCCTAAAGGGTTTAGGATTAAGGCTTAAATGCCCTCTAGGTTTAAATGCCTAAGTCTTAAACCCCAAACCTTTAAACCTTCATCCTATGGGGTTTGAAGGTCAAGGGTTTAGGCTTGATTGCCGAGGGCTTTAGGGTCCTGACCCTAGAGGGTTTAGGGTTAAGGAATAGATGCGTAAACCTTAAACCCTTAAGGTTTAAACTCTATGGGCTTAGGGGGCTTAGGTTTTTTTAAACCCTAAGCCTTTAAACCTTCACACTACAGAGTTTAGAGGTGTTAAGGGTGACAAATTGATTACATACTTAGCTTTAGATGCCTGAATCTTAAACCCCAAACCTTCAAACCTTAACCCTATAGGGTTTAAAGGTTAAGGGGTTAGTGTTAATCGCTGTCTTAGGTTTAAATGTCTGAATCTTAAACCCTAAAACTTTAAACCTTCACCCTATAGGGTTTAAAGGTTAAGGGTTTAGGTTGAATCGTCAGCTTGGATTTAAATGTCTAAGTAAAGAATCCTAAACCTTTAAATCTCATCCCTATGGGGTTTAAGGTTAAGGGTTCAATATGAACTGCCGGCATAGGTCTAAATACCTAAACCTTAAACTTAAACCCTAAACCTTTAAATATCTTAACCCTATAGGGTTTAAAGGTTAGAGGCTTAGCGTAAATTGCCGGAATAGGTTTAAATGCCTAAATCTTAAGCCCGAAACCTTTAAACCTTAGCCCAACAGGGTTTAAAGGTTAAGGGTTTAAAATTAGTTGCAGGCTTAATTAGGTTTAAATGCCTACATCTTATATCCTAAACCTTTAAAAATCTTAACCCTATAGGGTTTAAAGGTTAAGGGCTTGGCTACAGGTTTAAATGGCTAAATATTAAACCCTAAGCCTCTAAACTTTAACCCTACAGGGTTTAAAGGTTAAGGGTTTAAAATTAGTTGCAGGCTTAGGTTTAAATGCCTACATCTTAAACCCTAAACCTGTAAAAATCTCAACCCGATAGAATTTAAAGGTTAAGGGCTTAGCTTTAATTACCGGCATAGGTTCAAATGCCTAAATCTTAAACCCTTAACCTTTAAACCTTAACCCTACAGGGTTTAAAGGTTAAGGTTTGTTTTTTGCAGGCTTAGGTTTAAATGCCTAGATCTTAAATTATAAACAAAAGCCAACAGAAAGAAAAACCCTCCGTGCGTGTGTGAGAGGGTGAATTAAGGAATACAGTCAAAAATCCGGTCACCGGAAAATCACCAGACAGCATAGGTTTTATCGGTATTTGCGGTACTTTTGCAAAGATCAAGGCCCGCGGTGGGTCCATTGGGGGGGGGTGACCATATATATATATATATATACATATAAACTCATGTAAACCCCAAAACCTAAACACCAGTAGGGAGCTCAACGCCGGGAGTCTGTGTATCCAAGCGCAGATGAGTCCCACATCTGTTGGCCTCGCAATTCTGGCCAAGAATCCAAGAATGCAATAGCAGAAGAATAGCAGATTACAAGAAGATAAGAATAAAAGAATACAAGACTATAAATAAAATGTGAGAACATGCGAATATAAGAAAAATGTATATCGAATCATGTAATACTCGAAGCACTAGGCCTAAAATGATGAGGGCTTGTCGAGCTTCGGATTCATCTAGATCATGGTCCATGCCAACGAAACAAGAGCCCAGAAGGGACCTGAACCCTAACCCCTAAACCCGAAACCCCAGCTCCATAATAATATCATTGTATACTGACACCGAAAACATAAGAAGAATAAGAAACATATTCATATCAAGAATAGCAATAAAAATCACAAAAAAAAAAAAAAAAACATATTCAAAAAATAATAATGGATGCATTGCAGGCACACTCGAGGTCGGCGACCGCGAGGACTTCCTTCGTGGTCCAGGCTTGGCAATCGGAGCAGCTGACCATGTGCTCGCAGGTGAACTCCTGAAGGGCACGGGACTTCCGAAGCACCTTCCTGGTTTCAGGGTTTAGGGAACCCTAAACCCTACACCCGAAACCCTAGCCCTAAACCCCAAACCCTAAACCCTACATCCCAAACCAACACTGGGCTCTTGTTCCGCCGACAAGACGCGTACTTGGCAAAGAAGCGTTCCAAGAAGGATGGACGAACACCATCCTCATCCTGCTCGGCTCTAGAGGAACCCTATGTAAAGCCAGCGTTAGGGCTTCGGGCGCTCTTCGCAAAGACGTTTCTAGTACTTCTGCTACTGCTACTACTGCTGCTGCTACTACTACTACTGCTACTACTACTTCACATTTTTCAACAACTTTAGGCCTTCTCTTCATCTCTCTGAACCTAAGCCGAGTCCTTGCAGCGTCTTCTCTTCGCCTCCTTCTCGCCATTTCCCCATGGCTGCATGGCGGCTTCTAGTTTATGGCCTTTCCCTAAACCCTATAACAGAAACTTTAAATCCCAGACGCTCAACCCTGAACCCTCAACTTATCTCGACGATGGGAGTCGGGAGGAAATTTATTGGTCTCTGCAAGGCGACAGTCACAAGCCTGGTCATGGACAGGGCGTTTGATGGCTCTGTGCTACAGCATGCACTTGAGGATCAACTGCTGCTGCATGTGTGGCCGCATGCTGCGGGATCGCGCACAGTTGAAGGGGGACATGAAGCATGCATCCACGCAGAGTAGGCAATTCGTGAGCCCAACGTCAAGTGCGTCTTTGGGCTGAATATGGACGCTGCCACGTCGCGGAGTCCTGCTTGCACTGCTTGCCTGTCTTCCTGTGGCCTCTCGGGTCAGAGACGAGTCGAGACATCTATGAGGCAACACAGGGTGCTTCTTCGGACATGAAAGGGCCAACAAGCTCTTCCGACATTGACTATAGGGCTCTCAGGGGGGTGTATAGGTATACCACAGCACGCCTTGACCTTCTGACCCAGCTGGAGCCCTGAAGCCCTGAAACGCAGATCAATACTCTTGTCCGAGCAGTACTGTTCCTGGTGGCACTTGATCACGAGAAAACAGTCCTGTCCAGTACCCCCATTCAGGCCTGCAGCAGCTCCTCCGATCCTGCAAAAGCTCCACATGGAGTCCCTAAATGCCGAAATTTCATGAAGTGGCCAGAGGGACCAGCCTGACAACAATCCACTTGCGAGGCCCTTCTTGTTGTGGCTGTTCACTGCTCACTCGCAATTGCCACTTGCCGAAGGTCTTCTAGAGAATCCCTAGAAACCTATACCCTGAAAGGCCATTCGCCGCAAAACAAGGCCCCACTCCTGCATGCAACTCGCAGGCTGCTCGCAGCACGCCCATTTGCACTCGTGTGGCAGTCTTTGGTGTGTACTTGTGGTGCTGTCTCGGTACGCTGCATGGTGTGTGCTGCTGCGGGTTCGCTGGCTTTGGCCTTGGCTTTGGCCCTGACATGTAGGTAAGCGGACCGACAGCAACTGCACAACTTCAACAGCACAACACAACAAAGCAGGTGGCTAAAGTACACTAGGGGTTCGACTTGTGTAAGTTGCTCGTGCTTGTGCACGTTTCATGGCTGAGACCCCAAGCAGCAACAGAGATAGCCATGTGCCGGGTGTCTCTGTGCAGATATGCAAAGGATGAGTACAACAAGGGTTTGGGGCTTATAGGGTTTAGTATTTAGTGTTTAGGGCCTTTAGGGTTAATAGCAGCAGGCCGTACTCGCATCCGAGTTTTCACGCATTAGCTTCGAAGCAGCATCTCGCCATTGGCGAGAACAGCTACGGGGCACCAGCTGTGGATGGAAAACAGGTGCAGATGCGGTTCGATGCAGCAAACAACAAGCCAGGCCAATGGCACGTTTGGCATGTACGACAAGAAAAGGACAGTGTCCGTATCAAGATTTCAGTCGAGCATTGCCCGTGGGAAAAATCCAAAGCTTGCTCCTTAGAACATCTGACAAGGATCAGCCTCCATAAGAATGAATATTATCTATACTGATGTCTATATTGATTACATTCTTCTGGTGAATATTACCCTAAACCCTAAACCCTAAACCCTAAACCCTAAACCCTAAACCCTAAACCCTTTTCTACTGTAAACCGGGGACCTCCGGGCTGCACTGCCACTGCACCACGACGCCAACGTCCATCGAACCACACCCCTCCTGGAGCTAAGGCCCATCGCCCTTGCATCCACTCAGCAGCACCCTTCTATAAAGCTGAGCCAGCCCTAAACCCTAAACCCTAAACCCCAAACCCCAAACCCTAAACCCTAAACCCTAAACCCGAAAGCTGAGCCAGCAGCCCTCAGAGGCTCACTTTGTCTGCTTGAACATCTGCACGGTCTGCCAAGACACCCCCCAAACCCGCCAGAAGTCTCGCAAAACTGCAAGCGGCCCCTTGATATTATAATGAGGGCACCCTTTTTTGGGTTGGTCATTTTATCAGGTAAGCCAGAACCCAAACAAGGGTAAAGGGCCCCACTAACCTACCAAGCTTGCCTTGCAAATGGCTCCACGATCCGTCTCGGAGGCTCGGGTCCGCCGACTTGCAGCCGGCGCTGAACTCGCCCTGGTCTGCCGAGCTGCCTGGCAGGATGGATCCCTTCACTCAGCTTGCGGTCGAGTGATTTGGAGAGCTTCGGAATTCTGCAGATGACTCGGATGGACATTGCTCATTTTGGTGAATGCCAGCAACGAGAGCGCATGGATGTGCTTCTCTGGCGCGCCCTCTCTTGGAATGGCAAAACAGGCAGATTGCTTACTCTATCCCGCCTTGCTCCTCATCGTGCTTTCTGCAGCTCTCCTTTCGCGGGATCACGGGATACAGAACATGCCTCCTGCATTTTCGACTGTGTCGGCGTCACCTTTCCCTAAGCCCTACACCTAGACATGACTTGCAGCGACCGCAAACCCTAAACCCCAAACCCCAATCCCCAAACCCTAAACCCTCAAGCCCTCAACCCTATCCCAAAGTCCCCCCCCCCCCCCCCCCGGCACTGCCCTTCCTCGGCAGGCTTGGAAGGCTCTTTTAGGAGCAGCCGCGGCCCGAAGAATTGGATGAGGATGGCACCCAGTGGCGCCGTGAGCAAGATGGCTAGGACCTCGAAGCTGGTTGTTGCTTCGGTTTTCTTGTTTACGTTTTTGTTGGGGTTTTGTTTAGGGCTTTTAGCGTTTTTTAAGGGCGTTTTAGGGCTTATAGGGGCCTGATGTGGTTTATGGGGTTTACTCGGCCCTGGATGCTTGGAGTCCCTTGTAAGGCTGGAGCCGCCACCGCCAACACTTTCTGACCCATCCTCGGCTGGGCATCTCCCTACACCCTAAACCCCAAACCCCAAACCCCAAACCCCAAACCCTAAACCCTAAACCCTAAACCCTAAACCCTAAACCCCAAACCCTAAACCCTAAACCCTAAACCCTAAACCCCAACGTAAGCAGATACTATGGCATCTTGAGGTCTCCATTCGGGCAGCTCTCGAGATCGTGGCCCCTGTTTGGGCGCTCCGCTATACTTACGGCACCTACTCTTCAGGGTACTCAAAAAAGCTCCCCCCCCTAATTTCGAGTAGCATCATTTGGTCGACTCAATCAGTCCCCGAAACCCCAAACCCCAAACCGTAAACCCCAGACCCTAAACCCTAAACCCTAAACCCCACCAGCCCGAGGATATGGGCTTTAATTGCTGAGCCTGGCTTCGTCTTTTCTTCGAGCCTCAGCGGACGACTCTGGGTCTGTGACCCTGATTTGATATGGGACGCGGGGGTCCATAGATCACAGTCTCACACTCCCAGGGCTCCAGTGTTTAGGGTTTATAGGGTTTAGGGTTTAGGGTCGAGGGATTAGGGTTTAGGGTTTGCTGTGATATGGCGCAGAAGCTGTGGTGGGAGTGCAGACTAGCTTCGAAAGCTTCGTGAACTGCGAAGTATGGCCCCATGTGGAGTCAAACACTTGTGTCCAACCCCACCTCAGGCGGCAAAAGCCACCCCTCACCTATTTCTTTCAAAACTCAAGCTGTAAGAGGGCGAACGATCGGTCGGCGTGCGCCATCGAGGTCGAGGGGCTTAAGCGCACGCCTTGAGTTTACGGCCCTGGGTTCCAGCGCAAAGCTCCAGCTAAGCCATCTGTGAAGCTCAGACTCAATCGGCTTTGAACCCCTTAGAACAACAGCGATGTCGGTCTCGAAATCAGCGACCAGACTCGGGGCTTGTCACGGCCTGTCATATGAAGAATATTGATAATATTTAAGCTGGTGTATAAGATCAATCAGAATATAATGTTCAAAACAGTGTTGATATTAACAGCATCAAACCATCATCAATAGCGCTCACATCATGAAAGTATTCAAAAATTAGGAAAACATTATCTGTTACAATATAGAAGATTCAAAGTGGTAGTCTCCATAATGTCATTAACAATATTAAAATTCATGCTGATAATGGTTATGCTAATTAAAACTGAAATTTTGCTATTCTTAACGTTAGTAGCAATATGATTGTGAGCAACGCAAACAAATTAAATGCCATTAGGTCAGGCAGCGTCCGCGCACGGTCCAGAGCCACGCCACCGATCGCTGCCTGAACTGTTGCCTGTTCACTCGAGCAACTACACGTCTGCGTGTGCGTTTGACAAATGTTTTTGTGTGTATGTATGTATATGTATATAAATATATATGTATATATATATGCATTTGTTTACGTGTGTATGTCTAGATATAATGTCATACATACTAAAAGGATAGGCAGGTACATGTTACTGTAAATGTGCGCACACACACACATCTCTCTCCCTCTGGCTTGCACACGCACCTTTGCAACGGTTTTGGGACCACCTTGCGTGTACGGGTGTGCAACAAACCGAAGACACAATGACAACACAACGAACGAAAAGGTGCACTAACCATTTGCCCATATCGTGAAGCAGAAGCAGGCAGCAGCAAATCAAGCAATGGAATCAACTGCTGGTGGAGAGACTACGCGAGACCAGTCAGGGCAATAGACTCCACAAAGGGAGGCGAGCAGCCTCATTGAGGTCAGCAGGTGGGTCTAGGAGGTCACTTCTGCGCAATGGGAATCCAGGACCCCAGTTAAGGTCGCGTGGGCCGGTCCAAGATTCTCGGCCCTGGTGAGCAGTATTGCTAAAGCCACACAAGGGCACACAAATCGGAATCTACACCTCCTTGGGCTCCGGAATTATCGTATCCGGCTATTGCCGGCTGAAGAAACACATTGTCGAGTCCCACCTCCTGCATGCAAGCCCTCGCTCACAAGGAGCTAAGGAACTCAGGTGCCTTCGGCTTAAGCATCATCTACATGGGCATTGCCCCAAATATGGGTGTGCCCTTCTTTTTTGCTTGTTTGTGTGTGTGTGTGTGTGTGTGTGTGTGCGTGTGTGTGTGTGTGTGTGTGTGTGTGTGTGTGTGTGTGTGTGTGTGTGTGTGTGTGTGTGTGTGCGTGCGTGCGTGTGTGCGTGTTGTGCGTGTTGTGCGTGTTGTGCGTGTTGCGCGTGTTGTGCGTGTTGTGCGTGGTGTGCGTGGTGTGCGTGGTGTGCGTGGTGTGCGTGGTGTGCGTGGTGTGCGTGTGTGCGTGTGTGCGTGTGTGCGTGTGTGCGTGTGTGCGTGTGTGCGTGTGTGCGTGTGTGCGTGTGTGCGTGTGTGCGTGTGTGCGTGTGTGCGTGTGTGCGTGTGCGTGTGCGGCTGGGTGTGGGTGTGGGTGTGGGTGTGGGTGTGGGTGTGGGTGTGGGTGTGGGTGTGGGTGTGGGTGTGGGTGTGGGTGTGGTTGTGGGTGTGGGTGTGGGTGTGGGTGTGGGTGTGGGTGTGGGTGTGGGTGTGGGTGTGGGTGTGGGTGTGGGTGTGGGTGTGGGTGTGGGTGTGGGGTTCTTAGCATAAGGATCAGAGTTCTCTTGGGGCTTCATACAGGTACCCCTATTTGGGATATGCAGCAATTTCCACAAACGACTTTCAGTATTATTTTGGGAAATGCGTATTTCCGGAAATGACTTTTCAGTACCGGGACATCAGTTCATCTCAGAGGGACATTCCGAACTTCACTGCAACAGGGCCGCCTTGGGCATCCAGGCAATGGCAGTGAACAGCTTCTCCTTGAGATCCGCGCGGCAGCTGGGGGTTTCCGAAAATCGGGAGCACCCCTTTTTTGGGGGGCTCGTTTAAAGGGATTCTAGTACTTTGGGGTATATCCCTATTTTCGGGAGCCCCCAGCTGGCTCACAGAGTGAAACGAAACTCGGCAGTACTCGAAGTTTCAGTGCACCCGATCGTCCCTGCATCTGCATACGCCCCCGAGAAACCCTGTAAGCAGAAGACTCCTAAACCCTCGCCCTAAACCCTGAACCCTAAACCCTAAACCCCAAACCTAAACCCAAAACCATCCTAAACCCTAAATCCTCAAGCCACAGCTGCACGCAACCCCCATAAAGCCCGCTCCTCGCAGCGGAGGTTACGGCCGGAGGTCGCTGCAGCTGCAGCCGCAAAGCGTACGGCGCCGCCACCTGATGGGGCTTGGAGTTGATATGCGTGGTAGTGACTGGTACGAGTAGTGCACGTTTTGCGTGTACATACAGATACTGAAAGTGTATTTTCTGTGTTTACATACGAATACTAATCCATGTCAAGAAATATGTACACGCGCTTATTGATATTACAATTTTGTGTAGATAGATAGAAGGAATGAGAGAAAGAAAGAAAGATAGATAGATAGAATAGATAGATAGGGACTAGCTTTAACAGGTTCTGGAGCCAAACCCTAAAACGCTCAAACTAACCCTAAGCCCCCTTAATCCTAAACCCTTCAACCCTTAAACCCTAAACCCGGAACCCTGCACCCTGAAACCCCTATGACTCATCCCTCATCTGGAGTTCGGTTTAGGGTTTAGGGTTTAGGGTTTAGGGTTTAGGGTTTAGGGTGTGCCAAGGCCTAGCAAGATGGCAAGGCCGCTTCCCAGGATGTTGGACTCCAGGGTTCGGACCTACAGCGAGTTGCTAGGGCTCTTGGGGCTTGGGATGGTTTGGGGTTTAGGGTTTGGGGTTTAGGGTTTAGGGTTTAGGGTGTAGGGTTTAGGGTTTAGGGTTTAGGGTTCAGGGTTCAGGGTTTAGGGTTTAGGGTTTAGGGTTGTTTAGGGCTCATATATTTGCTTTTTAGAGCTAAAAGGGTTCAGGATGGTTGGGTCCAGGGTTCAGGATGGTTTAGAGCTATTTATTTATATATATATATATATATAGAAATATCAATAAATAAATAAATAAAGAAATATATATATATATATATATATATTTATATATATAATAGTTTATATAAATATAGATAGATATATAGATAGATATATATATATATAATAGTTTAGGGTTTATCGGGCTTTGCCTATAGGGTTTGAAGACAAAGCGCCGCCCAAAAGTAATGTGCACCCTACAAACCCCTATCTAAAACCTAAACCCAAAGCCCTGAACCCGAAGCCCTAAACCATTGCTTTTAAACCCTGAACCCTAAACCCTGAACCCAAAACCCCAAACCCAAAGCCACCCACAGCCCAAAGGCCCCATCACACCGCTCCTTAGTCCCGGCGAAGCACATCCACCGATGCTCCCACCAGACTGAAGAGCAGCGGCTGTGCTAACCTCATCGATGCGAGGATACGAAGAAGGAGCCTTTTAAGGGGGTTGTGTGTTGGGCTGAGGGTTGAGGGGTCTGAGGGTGTAGTTGTGATGATTCCCAGAATTTCTGTATAGGTTCCCAGGACCATCGCAGGAAGGAGGAGCCATTTTTTGTGCTGTTGCCTCTTCACCCGCCCTCAATCGGACCTGGATCTAAGGCACCTGGTCCACAATTCGGTGACCACGGCTGCGACGGGCTTGGCTTCCTCTTCCCATCCTCTGAAAGCCCATCAGGGTTTAAGGTTTAGGGTTTAGGGTTTAGGGTTAGGGTTTTAGAGGTTAGGGTTAGGGATTAGAATCATCCATCTCATCCAGGTTTATTGGCAGAACACCGTGCTACGGGCTGGAGGAGTCCCTACGAAATCGGCACTCTTCATTCTTCCAAGCTTAAGGCCCTGCGTGGATGCGTACCGGCACTCAAGCACCATCAAGAATCAGAGTCCTGAGCCGACTTTGAGACATGATCTAAACTCACAATGAATTTGAACAGTCAAACGCCCTAAACCCTAAACCCTAAACCCTAAACCCCAAAAACACAATCTATTCAAGGATGGTTTTCGGTCTTTGGGCTCGATGGGCAGTGGCCATTAGCAGGCTGGGGCCTGGGGCTTCAGAAAGACAATCTCCAAGAAAGCGACCGGAACCCCCTAAAGAACACATGGTGGTTTCCACAAAAGGGGGGTGGGGGTGCCCCGTTTGGGGGTTGCAATACTAAGCTGTATAGTATTTTGAGGTAACTTAGGGGCATCCCGATTGTGGGAAATGCTTCCCACCTCGCGCCACGCCAGCTCCGAGGGCCAGAACTGCCAGTGCAGCAGCACCTGAGAAGCCGGCCTGGTGCACTGGAGCGAGGGTTTAGGGTTTAGGGTTTAGGGTTTAGGGTTTAGGGTTTAGGGTTTAGGGTTTAGGGTTTAGGGTTTAGGGTTTAGGGTCTAGGGTCTAGGGTTTAGGGTGAGGAAGGAGATGGGCTGCCTGAGGTAGAGTCTAGAGCGCAGTAGCTTTGGGACCAGGACGGGTTCCGAGCACCCTGATGCCTATGCATTAAAGCCTAGACCCTAAACCCTAAACCCTAAACCCCAAACCCATGAGGTCAAGAGTGGTGAACTTCACACCTGCGTCACGTCTTTGAGACAGTGGGATGCTGGCAAAAGAAACATTGACTTCGCTAGTGGGATCGTAGGTTTCCCATGTCGCCAAAGTACCTAAGCTCTGCCAGCAAGGTGGAGTTCATCGTCCCGCTATCTGCTGCTCCATGACTAAGGGTTTTTAGCACCTCATGCCCGAAGCCCAGCCATGGAAAGCCCAAACCACTTCAACAGGGCCTGGCCCAGGCCGAAGGCAGAGGTCAACGCCAAGCCCAGCAGTGATAACAGGCGCTCCTCTCAGTATCCCAAGAAGCGCTACCCCGATGCATCAGAGAGTGCACGGCGCTCGGGTTTGAAGCGGGGCCAGGGAATGAAGGATTTCATTCACGTCTCTGATCCCTACGACATCTCGAAGTTGCAGGTCATCCTCACGTCCAGGGCCGCCAGCAGGCGCTTTGTCCTTTCCAGATCTCACTGTGAACCTATATGAGTACAGCGAATCACCCTGCGGTACACCATCCATACCGCGGCTGAGAGAATGAGCTCCTGAACTCAAATCGAAAGATGCGAAGCCAACAGAAGGGCAAGCCTGTTGCGCGACGCACAGATCCCGTAATCTTTCGTCTGAAGTTCCTGCCTTGCTAGCGGGCATCAGCACCACCAGCAAAGCCTGACAGCGCGAAAGCACGTGACTGCAAGAGTCTGCACTAGGAGTTGGACTTGGTGCGTCTGCGCTAGCTGGAGGGGTTAACTGCCATATGTTCAGTGAATTATGAAGCCCTCGCTTTCTGCACAACATGCATTCTGGAGCTCAAGAGGAAGAGATCACGATGCAGAAACTTGCACATGTAGATCATGCATCCCGCATCTACTAGCTGCTTAAGAGCCCCGAAAAAAACACAAAAGGATAATCCGTTATTATGACCAAGGCTTTACAAAAGACTCTTCCTTATTAAGGGTAATAAAGGGATTGTCGTTTTCTTTGGGGGTTGTTAAGCAAATGGTAGGCATCCAGGACCCATCTGCCCTGTTTTACCATCCTCGCCGAGGAGCGGCGCCGAACATTCCAGAGCCTCATGCTCTTCGGGTTGGTTCTTGGGCTGCAGCCGTGTGTTGGGGTCAGCACTTTCAGTGCAGCGCATTGTTTTCCGGACTTCATGTGACCTTGCGGACCTTCCCTCGACAAAGCCGAGTCTACAAACTTCAATTCAATGGCAAGCGCTGCAACGCGTCACACGACATGCACAGCCCCAGCTGTGCTTCAATCTCCTCATGGGGAACCGAGGTGTGGAAAGGTTTTTGTGGGGGGCCCTAAACCCTAAACCCTAAACCCGAAACCCGAAACCCTAAACCCTAAACCCTAAACCCTAAACCCTAAACCCGAAACTCCAACCCCCAAACCCTAAACCCTAAATCTTTTAAAGTGTCGAAAACAGGGAGCTCAGGCCCAAGACGATCTCCAGCGGAGCCCTGAGAGCCTTGGATCAGGCACCCCAAGGCTCTCCCTTTCGGGCTTAGGGCTCATGGTGTGTAGGGTTTAGGGTTTAGGGTTTAGGGTTTAGGGTTTAGGGTTTAGGGTTTAGGGTTTAGGGTTTAGGGTTTAGGGTTTAGGGTTTAGGGTTTAGGGTTTAGGGTTTAGGGTTTAGGGTTTAGGGTTTGGGGCCTCAGAAGCGCTTGACTCCCGTGTTGCAGTACACACTTCAGTGGGCACGTGCTGGAGGAAGCCCTCTACTGAAGGTCTCCACTACCTGCTGGCACGCATCTCTCCTCTCCTATATGCCGGCCAGGAGTACGCTCATGATGGGCGCTTCTTCGGTGAGAGATAAGCCGAGGCAAATGCCAAAACCTGCTCTTGGACACTCGAAATACGTGATAAGTGATGGAACTGTCGACTGCGGTCTATACGAAATACAACGAGAAGACATGCATTGCAGATGGTGTGATGGGTCTGATCGCCTGTTGGCACTGCAAGCTGCCATGCTATTCATGACTGTGATCGAGCCTGCGATCGAGAGGACGTCGTCCAGCGGCGCAGAAGCGACCACCTTTTTGTGGCGTGCCGCACTTTGTCAGTTCGACTGCCGTTACGGCTACAGGCTCATGTGATGTATATCTTGCAGCTTATAAGGGCAAGGAAGAGATGGTACAGTAAACGCTCAGGCCACCCAACTCATGGTGCAGCCTGGTTTCCAGGCTGGGAATTCCAGTGCTGACGCCATACCCCTGCTCCTGCCCATGATCACTTTGCACTCGCGAGTCGAAAGCGAAAGCTCAAGGACCCCCTCCCCCCCCCCCAACTTCGAGTGCGCCTGCAGAGACAGAAGCGAGGGCACCACCACAGCAGGAGAGATGGCTGCCACCACGAAGCCCAACATCGCGGCCCAAAGCACTGGGAAGTCCTGCGAAGCCACCACCAAGCATCGCGTACATCGACATCCAGAAGCATGCATTTCACAAGCAAGGGGCCCCGATTGGTACGTATGGGAAAAGAGACAGTCATGTGAGTCTTGTCCGTCACATGAACCTCCTTTGACAGCCGTACACAGGAATGCTACCGGGCAGAAAGATAACCTCCTCATCAAAGCGAATCACACATCCACTGTCAATACTCAACCACGGCAGCACCGTGCATAGCATATTTTGCCTCCGACACTTCACATCACTTCACTGACGCCCAAATTCAAGCCTAAGCCAGCCTGACACTCATTCACTGCTCCCCGAAGCCCACGGCTCCAGCAACGCCGACGCCAAGGCTGCTGCCGTGGCCGCCTCCGCCAGACAGGGTGCAGCTGCCAAACGTGGGACCTCAGATGCAACCGATGGGTAGCAGGCCCTCGGTCAAGAAATGACACTTCCGCCAGCTAGTAGTTCAGCTTGTCAATAACTGCAATATCCTTCAATAAGCATCCCCCTACCGAGATTGGTCTTCATGGGTCCGGCGGCCACGAAGCGAAGCCGCTGCAAGGCGTTCATGTCCAGGGCCATGCCAGCACGTAGGAGGATCAGGACGAGAGCAGACTGCCTAGCTAAGGATCCGCGTGGAGTTTGTGAACCCCGAAACCCCAAAACCCTAAAACCCAGAATCCCTAAACCCTAAACCCTAAAACCCCAAACCCCTAAAACCGACCACCGCGCACAAAGGCTCAACTCTGGGGACAGGGCCTGATGGCTGCCGACCAGTTCGCATCCACCTGCCAAGATGACTTCGTTGAGGGTTTCGGGTTTCGGGTTTCGGGTTTCGGGTTTCGGGTTTAGGGATCCTACACCCGAAAAGCAGATGTGGCGCGCGTCTGGGGTTAAGAGGGTACTGACTCAGTGCAGTTCCTTGCTTGCCCTGGCCTTCTGGCCCACATGCTCGCCCAAGAAGGGCAAGTTGCCCAGGGCAAAGCCAACCACGAGCCTGAGGCGCATCGTACATGGGAATCCTGGGGCCTTGTTGGGGTAATATTTAAAATTATCATTTGTTTAATCCTTAAGCCTTAGTGGCTGTCTAGGGTGTGGGCTTTTAGGGTTCATTCTCATGTTCTATAAGACACATTTTCGGGTTGGTAGGGCTCAAGATCTGAAAGATCAAGGGATAAGGGGTGCCCTATTCTGTAGCGACCCAAGGGGCATGGTCAGCAAAGGAGGCAGCTGCTTGATGGCCGACGTCCTGAGCTTTCTGACGCACTGCGGGGGCGGGGTTGGGGGGGGGGGGGGGGGCGGGCATGAGGGGGAGGGCAGGAGCGGGAGTCAGCTTCAAGACTGGGGGTGGGGAGGGTGGGGGGGCGTGAGGAGTGTTTGGGCACGCGGGCATGCGTTGGAACCCTTTAAAAACATCAACCTCCCAGCCCCCCCCCCGTACTTAAGGGTTCCAATGCATGCCCTAAGTTTTGAAGCTGACTCCCCTCCCCACCCCCGGCCCCATCCCGCCCTCCCGCTCCTGCCGTTCCCTTTCCCCTCCTGACTCCCGCTCCTGGCGTTCCCTTTCCCCTCCCCCTCCCTGCATTGTCTGGCCTCCAATGCATGCAAACCCCTCCAACTCTCTTCCCGTCGCCTCACCCTACACCTAAAATACGAAAGCTTACCTACACCTGGCCGGGCTCTTGAGGTTGACGTATTTAAAAGGTTCATGCATGCCCAAACCCCTGCCCCCCTCCCGCCCTCCCCGCCCCAGCTCTCGAGGTCGACCCCTTTTTCTGTATTCTCCCTCAGGTCTTGAAGCTGACTCCTGCTCCTGCCATTCTGCCCCCTCATGCCCCCCCCAACCCTTCTCTTTGCTTGAGGCTGACGTGTTGCAAGAATTCAACGCGTGCCCAAACCCTCCCTCCCCCCTCCCCTTTCGGAGGTTGACGCATTTAAAGGGTTCCAATGCGTGCCCAAAGTCTTGACTCCCGCTCCTGTCGTTCACTTTCCCCATGCCCCCCAACCCTTATCTTTCCCGGTCTTGACGTATTTCAAGGGTTCCAACGCCCCCTCCACCCCCCGTGACTGTCTTGCAGACACTGGCTCAACAAGGCAACAGCTAGAGAGCTAAGCGATCCTGCGCCAGCACCTACAGCTAGGGGCCTTCCGTTGCATAAGTGGCATTTTGGAGCTACTCAAGCCGCAGACAGTAATGTTGATGGTCGCCATGGTTATCGAAGTGCATGGTCGGCATGTGGAGGGTGATCAGAAGGCTAGCCGTGGTAACGATGACGACGCTATCGGACCTACGCTTAGGCATGTCCTGCTCGAAGAAACACCTTGGCCAGCATTCTTGTTTGAAGTGAGCCCTGGCAACTGCCGATTCACTGAGCAGAAATTCAGAAACATGCCAACAGCCCAGGCTTGGGATGCGCTCTGTCAGCGATACTTTTGCGCTCCCCAGCTCTCACACACAGTCTCAGGCTGCAGATGATACAGGAGGCTAGGCCATGGCTTGACCAATAAAGCAAACGTCTTGAATAAATGCATAACTATTTCCGTTTTTCATATGTGCACAAACGAGTCAAATGTTCAAAGGAATCAGGAGCGAATGAACCACGGAACTTCCTGGCCGCACTCACTGGTGCTGGGGCTCCTGGAGCAGTCAGTGATGTCAAACGGCTCAGGCTTGAAGTGAAGGCGCAGCAACAAAAAGAAGCGGCATTAATTGTGGCATTAAGCTTATCAAACTGCAGTCCATTGTCTGACGTTTGCACGTGGTAAAGATTTTCGGCTTGAGCTTCGAGCCTGGAGTCGCCTCGTAGTTCAACGGTCAGGCTGAAGACATTCGGTAGTTCGTTTAATTTTCATATGTTTGAAGATTTGGAAAGCTGTACAGCATAAGGGCGAACAATTGGAGGACAGGCGGTGGACGACAACCAATGTAAAAAGAAGAGCCCCTGGGAATCAAGGCAGGCGGAGCGACAGGAAGGATGCAGCAGGAGTTCCAGCTTTCCCCCTGTCGGGCATTGCTGCTCTCCAAATCTCCAGACACCCCCATTGCAGAATTGGGCTCAGATGCCGATGCATAGCCGACGCCCGCAGCGCAAAGCTAGGGCTGCAATGGGGTAACTGCCAAAGCCCGGTTCACCCGCCAGACCAGACCTGGGAACACTGCACGGCATTCAACACAAAGAAAACAGAGATCGCGATGACTGAGCATGTCCTGCAGCTCGTCGTAATGTCTTCGGTGCCATTCCGGCTCAATCAAGCACAGGTCGTCCGATGCAACCCGCAGAGGACCTGCCCAGGCCTCTGAGAGATTAAACTGCAGCAGCACGCAAGCCCTCACACACAGAAGGGACTGTCTCTCCTTGGCTTCTGCACCTGTTCAGAATTCTGGCTCTCGGCATCAATGGGATGCGGAATTTCAGCACTACTTTGCTACCGCCGCTACTGAAACACATGATATGTAACTCAGTATGGAAAGTGTGGAAACAACAATGGCTCGAGGTTGACGATGACTGCCTGCAGTTTAGGATTTGGGAAAGTGGTAGTCAAGAGTTCTGGGGGTTTGGCCCTTTGCGAGGTTGACGTATTTAAAGGGTTCCAATGCATGCCCAAAGTCCTGCCGTTCACTTTCCCCTCCCCCTCATGCCCGCCCCCCCAATCCCCTGAAATTATACAGGTATTGGGCTCTCTGGGGAACTCCTGCACATGCTGCCGGTGCTGGGGAGAATGGCTCCAGGTTTGAAGCTTGGGGTTGGCGGTTTGCGGTTGCGCCCTTGGGGGTCGGCGGCACTGGAGGTAGACGCCGTTGGGCGCCAGCCCTAGCTTTAGCTACCCCGGGCGCGTCATACGCCGCCGACCCGGTTGGCTCGCCAACAGCCGGCTCCAAATTCGGCTTCCGAAGGCCATCACGTTTGGGCACATATTTTTTCGCGAAAAACGCGCTATTCCCCAGCGATTTGGGGCTCCTGGACGCATTTTTTGGGTGCCCCAACGGGGGGTCCCAAAAACGACCCCGGAGAGCATCATCGACTCTATTTTTTAACTTTTGCCGAACACGCGTTGTTGATGTTTTTTGGACGGCATCGGGACGCGTTGTTAATGTTTTATTTTTCGGAGGGCATTGGCCACCCCAAAAGACCCCCACAAGAGCGCGCATCATGAGCATCAGCGGGTTGGGTCTCGGCTTTCGGATGCCGCTGAGAGCTTGGAAAACGCAGAAAACACTGTAAATACTGTGGTTTTCGTGCTGTTACGGACATTTCCGTTTTGAGGCCGGCACATGCCCCCATAAGCCACGCATGCTTGGAGGCAGGAGCTGCTGATAGGGGTGCGCATCATCGAGGCTACGTTTCTTCTTGGGGATGCGGGGGGCGAGCATCAGCAGCATCAGCGGCTCCTGGGGGGAATGGGAGGGAGGGCATCGGGCGGCATGATTTCGAAGGAGACTGCCATAACATGGCGCTCGACGTGCCACCCCCGCATACGCCTGCGCGCGCGCCCGGTCTTGTTGTTGCTGTTGTTGTTGTTGTTGTTGTTGTTGTTGTTGTTGTTGTTGTTGTTGTTGTTGTTGTCGCTGTTGCTGTTGTCGCTGTTGCTGTCGTCGTCGTCGTCGTCGTCGTCGTCGTCGTCGTCGTCGTCGTCGTCGTCGTTGTCGTCGTTGTTGTGGTTGTTGTTGTGGCTGCTCCGCCCGGGGCGTGCCCGGCTGTGGGCGACAGCCCCTTTTGATGTGTGTTTATATGTGTGAACTGTGAGTTGATGTGATTTCGGTGTCGATCCTTTCTGACGGTGTTGATAGAGCAAGTCGGACAGCAACGGCCTGTAATTACGTCTGTCCAGCATCGACAATCCAGCAACGGGGGCTTACCCTCAGCCCTGATTAAGGGCAACGTTTTGTACTATCCGATTCACTCCTCTTTACAGGACAAGTCTCGCTTTCGCCGCCCACAGGGCCGCCTGAAGCACTTGGTGTGGAGAGATATTATATGTATACATATAATATATACACACATATATATATATATATTATATGTGATCGTGATGATGATGAAAATGATGAGGAGGAGGACGATGATGTTACTTTTGTATCTGATGTACATATATATATATATACCCATATTACACACGATGACATATATATGTATATATATATACAAACCAAGGACATACTATACAAACTGTATGTGCTGCACGCCAAAGTGTCTTCTTGATCACTGCTACAGGCTCTCCACACTTCTGCAGGCTGGCCGGGCCATGCCGGGCCTGGTGCAACGCCAGGAGCGCAAAGAGCCCACCGCCGGGGGCACCATCCCCACCTCATCAGGGCGACCCAAACTGCCAAGTGCCAGGAACCTTTGGGGTCGATTTCCCTGGAGGGCGCAGCAGTGGCTCTTGAAGTGAAGGCCCCGTGTCCGCTTCATTGCTCGCATAGGCCCCATGGGCCTGTGACGAAGTAGAGGGCTGCAAAGGCCAGTATCACCTGATGCAAGAGGAACAAATGGGCCAGGGAGGATCCAAGTGGTCAGAGGAATTGGGTTTTCCACGGAAGACACGCTTCACATGTCAACAGTGTCTTTTCGACCTGCAGCCAGGCCAGACCACTCAAGGAACACATTTTCTCTGTTAACGAACTCTGGAAAACCCCCCAAACCCTAGACCCTAAACCCTAAACCCTAAACCGACAAAGCCAAGAGACCAGCAAGGCTGCCAGAGCTGCGTGGCGCAATGCCGAAAGGCTCACCATGATCCGCGCCTCTACGAGTCTCGGACGAACCTGACGAGCCTCTGAGTTTGCGTGATTTGGTCGTGAGATCTAAGTTCAAGGCTGTCATGCAGCAGGGGACTGATGAGCCAGAGGTGACTGAGACCGCGTGTCTTTCTGCGGTCTCAGAAAGCTGTGTTGAAAGGGGCTGGGCTGCAGGAAGGCAATGGGTAGCGCATCTCATGTTACGATGACATCATGCTTGGGGGTTCCGTGCTCCCTACTAGTCTAGGAGGAGGCCTCTTGCTTTGCAAGAGCCACTCTCCTCAGCTGGGCCAAGCAGCAACAAAATAAAGACATTCGCGAGACGAATCGATCCAGATGCACGAAGATTTTGACCAACCAACTGCCGCAGCGCCTGCGTGAACCGCCTGACTGCTCAGACCCCTTGCTTGCCATCGCAATGCGTGCAGCACCGTGTTTGGTATCTAGCAGCATGAGCCCTTCTTTTCTGCAGCTTTTGACACGGCTCCGGGCGTTAAGGTTTAGGGTTTAGGGTTTAGGGTTTAGGGTTTAGGGTTTAGGGTTTAGGGTTTAAGGTTTAGGGTTTAGGGTTTAGGGTTTAGGGTTTAGGGTTTAGGGGCTCCTGGGGCTCAGACTTCTCAGAGCGGCTTGTGGGCAGACACTTTGGACGACCTTGGTGCCACCGGGCCCACGCCCTGTCAACCCTGCCAGGCCGCATGCTACGAGCATGCTTGCAAGTTTAGGGTTTAGGGTTTAGGGTTTAGGGTTTAGGGTTTAGGGTTTAGGGTTTAGGGCAACCCTTCGGCTTTCGATGCCCGGGAGCCAGAAGGGGGAGAGGGAAGAGGGAGGCAGCAAGATCCGTACGGCCAAGGCTGCCAAGCGACCGTGGCCCTGACCGCCCACCCTGCAGCAGACAGCTGCAACATCATAATACTGATGGACATCGAAATATGTAGGACGCATGAATGCCAGTGAAATAGAATGAACGAAGTACTGGATTAACCGTGTAAACGAGAACTCCTATTAAAATATAAGGAAACAAGGGAGTGAAACGAGTGCGTGACGCATGATTTTAATTGGGGTTTTCGTTCGCACATGAATTCACGCTTCGTGCCTCATTGTAATTCATGAACTCACTTACTCACTTAGTATTAACCGGGTGAATAAGGGGTTAATAGCGTACTAAAAGCCCTATAAAAATACTAAATTATAAGGAACCTGTGACGCATGAATTTAGTATATTTTAACGGGCTTTTGGGGAAGCGTCTGTAAGGTTGGGACACAAGACCCTGAGAACTTGGATGTAGAACTCAAGCCTTTGGTAACAGCCTGGTGATGATACTAATTCTATGTGCTAAGTCCTGTTCACCCGTTCCCCCGTTCCCCTTTCCTCACAACCGCACATCCGGGCAAAGGACAACATAATATTATTACTGCAAAAAGCCCCTTAAAAATACTAAATTACAAACTTGTGCGTGAATTAAGACCCACTAAAACTACTGTATTTCGCTGGGTCTTTTAGCGAGCACCAGGACACAGCTTATGATTGAGGATTTTTCCAGTAGAAATCTTTTGTTTCGTTCACTCGTTCATAAGATTCACGCGATCGCAGGCTTACTTGTAATCTTATTCACTCACTCTCTTCACCCAAGAACCCCCTTTATTAAGCCATTGATGGCAGTGTCACTCTTGTCCTCATTACGAACATTCGAGAGGGCTTTCAGGTGGAGGTTGGTGGACCCGCCTTCAGCTGAACCTTGAGAGCAATGCCCGCTGGCTGAAGAGACACTCACTGGAACCCCGGAACCCTGTGGCACGCATCCAACTTGCAGCGCCTGGATGAAGGAAGTTGCCTTGAGGGAACCCAAGCCCAAAGACACAAGTTGGTGGAGGTGTCATCGATCTCACAATGGGATGTATCTTCAAGGGCTGGATTGAGGTATAAAGCGTGCGGAGATGGCGGTCTAATCAGAGGGACAGCTCCAGGCTATACTCTGTGTAGTGGCAAAAAATCAGGACTTCAGACGACACGACAACACTGTGCTTCAATGCCCCAGCTTCTATCTGGCTTGGATTAGGAATCAGCAGAAGTAAGTAAACTTATATGTCAACAGTTCGCAAGCAAGGCACCGCAAACCGGCAACACCCTCCAGACGCAACCCTGCAATGGGCTTTTGGAGCTTCAAGCGCCCTGTGCGTACCCTAAGCCCTGAAATTCAAACCATGTGGCGGTTTAAGAGAAATAGACCCCAAATAGTGGGATCTCCTGATGATAAGGACCCCAATGTGGTAACCCCTAATCTCGTAAACCCCCATATAGCCCTGATCCGCTGCTGAGCCCATCACGGAGTCCAGGAGCAATCGGCTCAGTGCCGGACTCTCCTGCAGGTCTTAGGGGCTTTCAGGTGCTTAAAGGCCTGGAGGGGTTTAATGGGGTTTGAGGGCTTTGGGGTCATAGCGGCGTCGAGGGTTTTAGGGGTGGCGTTTTCGGGTTGTATGGGGTTTCGACGGGTGCAGGGCTTCGAGGGTTCTGGGGCTTTATGGGGCCTATGGAGTTTGTCGGACTGGTTTACATTTTTTGACGGCTCCGGGCTCCAAGGCTTAAGGCTCTCAGAACGTCGGCGTGGCTGTGCCGAGAGGCCTGTTCGGTCTCGGCCTCTTCGGCAGCCAATGACTCCAGTTGCGCCTGTGTCAGCATGCGTGGCTCGAGAGTAGGATGTTTCAGGTCACGCGCGGGCATGTGTCCATGTCCTAAAGAGCAAGGCACTACACAGACGCATGTCATGCACGTAGGCTGCCATGTCCATCTTCCTTAAGAGCAAGACACTACTCGGACACAATACCACAGAGCCGTGCAAGGTCGCGGTGGGGCCTCGCCTGAAGCAAGCCTTCCTGGCGCTTGATGTTCTGGAGCTCCTGTAAGCGATCACCTGCGGTCACCTGCAGCAGCAGTCTCCGATCCAAGCCGAGGGGGGGGAGGCAGGCTTTGTCTTGTCATGTCGCGACGGGATTCATTCGGAGGATCAGGAAAAGATGCTGCCAGAGATGCTGGTATGCCTGGCTTGGAGACTACATGAGGCCTGAAAGGCTTGTAGTTCACGTAAACTCATATGGATCTTAAATATGATCCCAATTCCTGGGCTCGTTTGGTCCCGAAGGCGTTCCTTCCATAAACCCTAAACCCTAAAACCTAAACCCTAAACCCTAAACCCCAAACCCCAAACCTAAACCCTAAACCCTAAACCCCAGCATCTCTCACAAGTACCCTTAAAGATCCAAACCCGAGACCGTAGACCCTAAACCCTGTAGCTGTTCCTACCATGTCTTCTCTGTGGCTCCGCGCACGAACTGACGAGTCTGAGGCGGAGGCCAAGTTCAACGACTGCCCTTAGTGCACGTGAAGGTTCAGGGGTCCTAAACCCTAATCCTAAACCCCAAGCCTGAACCCCAAACCGTAGTTTGGGCTTAGCATTTCGGGTTGCCCCAAGGTTATAATTGTATGCCCTAGGCCCATAAACCCTCATAAGCCCTCCCTGAACCCCCAGAAGCCCAGTAAACCCTCCGCCCCCATCCCCCCCAAGAGCCCACAAACAAACCTTAACCACACCCTTATACCCTGAAAAGCCCCCAAAAAAACCCTTTAAACCCCTTGAAAGCCCTGAACCCTAAAACCCGAGAACCTTAAATCTCTACATGCCAAAAGAGTTGAGAGATTGCAGCATAAGACTATAAGACCCCATGCAAACCCTGCCCTTTGAAAAGTGCCCCGAACCCTCAACACCGCAAAGCCCGATAAGCCCCAGAGATGAGCTTGCAGCCCTAAACCCAAAACCCTGTGGAGCCCGTCAAATGCCCTCAACCCTAAAACCCTCAAACCCTAAATCTCGAAAATCCCCGAAGATGGTGAGGTTTGCAGCCAACAGGCCCTGAATGGCTTCTTCCAGGCGGTTGATGAAGTCGGACCTGTTGAGATGTGAGATTTGGGACATGGAGCTTTGCTCTGGTATCAAACACCCCAGATACAAACAGAGCCTCTCCTGGGGGAGTACAGGCCTTCCGGTATGGCTTGCTTTGGGCTTCTTCGAGGCTGGGGTTTAGGGTTTAGGGTTGAGGGTTTAGGGTTTAGGGCTGGTTTTCGGTTTGTGCTTGAGGGTTGAGGGTATCCGCAGCGGTCCACCGGAAGTTCCCTTAAATTCGAGAGAGTCGGTCAGGTCAGGCCCACTTGGAAGCCGAACAGGTTCAAGAGTTGATGGCTTATTCGGGGGATTAGGGTTTAGGAGGGTTTGGGGTTGAGGGTTCGCTAGAAGCCCTGCCCGACGACACGCTTAGAAGGCCGTTTGCCCCTTTGTTGTATGTAATGTTGCTATAGGTAGGGTTTAGGGTCTAGGGTGTAGGCTTTAGGGTTTAGGGCTAGGGTTTAGGGCTAGGGTTTAGGGCTAGGGTTTAGGGCTAGGGTTTAGGGATGTTCTTAGGCATAGAAACCCTGAACCCCGAATCCGAACCCCGACCTCTGCCGATGGCTCTCCAATAGTTGCTGCTTCAGCTCGGTGAGCTTGGCCGACTCCTCGCCAGTGTCTTGCTGCCATCCCAAGGGTTTAGGGTTTAGGGTTTAGGGTTTAGGGTTTAGGGTTTAGGGTTTAGGGTTTAGGGTTCAAAAAATCTCAAGGCTAGGAATCCGGCTCCTCTTCACCGCGGCGAGTTCGCAGATAAGGCTTCAACAGTCCCCAAGCACTCTGAAAGGAAGCTAGGAAGAAATGGGCCGGGAGGGGGAAGAGCGTATGCCAGCCACTGTCCCTGATGAGTATGACATGGTGACTCCCTCAGAAGTTCAGGTTCACGCTAAACCTTGAGCACATCTATCACCCTAAGCCGAAACCCTACACCGAAAAGCTCGACAATCCCCCATCCTCCTGCACTTGGCTTTGAAGCTGAGCTTTCGAAGCCTTCAAGGAAGTGATGATCCTTACGGAGCACAAAGCTGTCGGGCACTGCTACCAGACAGCTTGTCGAGGCTTCTGCTTTTGAGGGAAGTTTATGGTTCAAGGCCTTGAAGGGGTGCAGAGTTTAGGGTTTAGTGTATATTTTTAGGGTTTAGCCCGCTCGTCAAGCGGCCAACTGGAGGTGCATGCGCCAGACCCTGCTGAGGTTGAAGCGACGTAAGGTTCCCAGACACCTGCCATTGCCTTGGCTGTCAAACGGCACTTCATATATTTTCAGGCTGATGTTACCCCCAGCCCCCCCCCCGACCGGGTTGATACAGCGTCAGTACCAGTGAGCTGAGAGGTGTGACATGCGCTGGGTCAGATGTCTGGCGCCCCTGTCGCGCGAGCACTATCGGGTAACAGCTGACAACGCAAGCTGATGGCTTGCCAACTCACGATGCTAGGGTCTCGGCGACAAATAGTTTTTGGCAATCTGTGTGGTGCTGAATAGTCGTAGTACCTGCGACAGTGGTGTTACCCGCATCAGGCTACATGTAGTCTGCCAGAACCATGTCCTGCAAAGGAGGGCCAGTGACCAGCAGAAGCATTCACGAAACGTGGGTGTCGTGCGCAAGAGAACCTTGGCAGCTATCCTGCAAACGTCTGGTCAGAGTATCCACTGCAAAACCTGAAAGCCCCAAAGTCGCAGATCCTGGCAATCGAGATTCTGAAGCCAAGCCCTAAGCCCTAACCCCTCTGAGCCCAACACGACCCTAGATCCCAGACCCCAAACCCTGAAACCCAAACCCTAAACCCTACATCCCAACGCCTCAGACAGTCCATAGGGCTCCCCTGGAACTTTCGGACCTCTCAGGGTGCAAATCTCCATGTTTGCTCCGCATCCGACGCAGAGTTGGTGCCAATATCGCTGTACAGAGCTTTGGAGCTCCGGGATTCGAACGAATGAGGGCCTTGTTTTTTTTTATTTTTATTTTTTAACGGGTTCTTTCGTAGGGCCTAGGCCATTGCCGCACTTGTTCAATGTGCTTGCAAATAGATAGATGGATAATAGATAGATAGACAGATAGACAGACAGATAGATATCTAGATAGATAGAAAGGGCCGGTTGATTGGAAAGATAACTGAGCAGACGCGACAGCTATATGATGAGGATCGGCATTTTGGTTTGATTCATGCGCCCGGCTGATCCCAGCTCATCAAATTCGTTGTACATGGGATCAGGAAGGGACTGCAGTTGAGCAATAGCAAACATGACCTAATCATGCACCCAAGCAGCCAGAGGCTGTAAGCAAGATGAGATAGACTCGGCCAACGACATTCCATGGCATCCCGATCCCAAAGCGCCTTCTTTGAGCTCATCCTGTACTTGCATGAGCCTGTACCGCACCACGCTCTGCCTGGCCACTGCTGCTACCATAGCCATATCCATCCCATTCGCAACTCAGATATGTCCATGAAACGGTAACCACGCATCACTGTGGCCCTGTAATAAGGGCACCTCTCCAAAGCCCAAGTGGCACGAAAGCCACTTCTTCAAGAGGATGCAACCTCTGTGCTAGCACACAATATGCCAGGCTGCGTCCGGTTGACGACGCTGAGAACATCCTGCTCAAGGAGCACACAGATCTACCGGACATCTTGGGGCACGTAATGTAGGGGCCACAACAATCAGAACAGGACATTTTTGTTTTGTTTTGTTTCTTTTGTTTTTTTTGCTGGGGGGGGAGGGGCGTGATTCTGGTATACATATAAAGGGCAATCTTGTGTCCCTGCAAAGGCAGGCCCCGACGCATGCACGGAAAGCCCTAAACCCTAAACCCTAAGCCGTAAACCCCAAACCCTCAACCCTAAACCGTAATTGAGTGCCTGCACCGAACTGCCGATGTCTTGCAGGCTGCACAGCTGCAGTTGAAGGGCTGCGGTTTCCTGCCAAGGGGCAGGACGTGTGCGTGTTGCCATGACTTCACATTGACGAGGTAAGGCATACCCGATGTCGATTCAAGGGACAGATTGGAGTTAAAGTTGCACGGATCGTTGTGCTGAAGCGCAAGAAGTTCCCGAGCACGCGCATGACGAAGTGTGCTTGTCTCTCTTGGCCAACAGGACTGGGGAAGGTCAGTTTGGGATCGAACTCCATGAGGGTAATTACCCGTATCCCAAACACTCCCGAACTCCCCAGACTGCTGGCCCAAGCTACCTGCTCAACTCCTGCATCTTGCCACTTCTGCTTCTCCTTACAGGGAGATGCAAGAGCCGCGGGTGCTGTAGTCCCTCAAAAAGGCAGAAGGAAGTTCAGGCTTGAAAGACTGTCACGACCCCCCTAAACCCTATACACCCTACACCCGAAGCCCAAGACACAAACGGAGCCCTGAACCCTAAACACGGATCATGATCATTGAACAAGGCCTCCTCACAGAACTTCTGGAACGCCTGGCGCAGGGACCAACTGAACCCAAACATCGGGACCCGAATTGGGATCATATACCCTACACTACGATCATGTAAGCCCTTGTATCAAATTTAGGGTCAATTTTCTGAACTCTGGTCCCGAATTGGGTACCCACAGGGGCCGCCCGACCCCAAAAGGGACCACATTCCAGGAGAAGTGATCATTTAGTCTCCAAGCCACACAAGAATTCCACAAGCACTCACCCTAAACCCTATAAACCCTAAACCCTAAACCCTAGACCCTAGACCCTAGACCCTAAACCCTAAACCCTAACCGTGGTCGGCGCAACTGAGCCGCCTCAAGACTCCGAGTGACGGCATCGACCCGCAGCCTAAGGAATCGCTGTCGGCTTAGGGTTCAGGGTTTAGGGTTTAGGGTTAGGGTGTAGGGTTAGTTTAGGGTTTAGGGTTTAGGGTTTAGGGCTTAGGGCTTCGGGGTTGGGTTTAGGGTTTAGGGTTTAGGGTTAGGGTTTAGGGTTCGGGGTTCGGAGTTTTGGGGTTTGGGGTTCAGGGTCGCCACTGGCGATTCCAAAAATTGGGATGGACGTATTTGGCGGGGCAACCGATTGTCAGCTGCTGACGGTTCTAGCAGACGTACGTGGCAAGTGCTCGTAAGCTGTCACGCTGCGAGTTCAGCTAGTGTCTCCAGATGTCTCCACAAACCGAATGCTTCGCGCAAACTCTGCTTGGCAGGCGAAGAATGCTTGCAAGTCGAAGCCCAAACGCCTTTCCCTTACCCCAAACCCTGAATCCTAAGTAATCCCTAAACCCTAAACCCTAAACCCTAAACCCTAAACCCTAAACTGATCGCACAAGCCAAACAGGTTGACAACGTCAGCTGCCAGATTCTGATTCTGGGCTGCCCGCGGAGGAAACTTCCCAAGTCCCGCATTTCCATAGCCTTGGCCGCATGGTTTAGGGTTTAGGGTTTAGGGCGTTTGGGGGTTTAAGGGTTTAGGGCGTTTAGGGCGTTTAGGGTTTAGGGCTACAGTAGCTCAGGTAGGCATTCTGCAGCCCGGAGAAAGGTGGGCTGGTTCGTGGGTCCTGAATGAAGCCGAAACAAAATCCAAGAGTGTCTCCTCAAAAACCCCACATACGTATATATACTACCAACTACCCAAAAACACATTTCTTCTATTTGGATCCTATATAGCGGAAGCGGTGCGGAACATCCGAGTTGCAGGCTGACCTGCGGCGTGATGCCGACCTCCTTCAGAGGGGCACGAACCTCGTCTTCCGGCGTCTGGCCGGTAGAGAAACTAGAGTCCACAGTATACGCAATCTAGAATCCAGGTTGGACATTTAGAGCCTTCCATGCTCTTCACAGTGAGTCTTGAAACAGACCACCGGCTCGGTCTGTAGGACGATTGTCGCCTACCTTCTCCCTCCCATATGAAAGAACATCATGAACGGGCTGGGTCCAGCACTCCAGTGTCAAAGAAGTTCCGCATCTGAAGTAGCAAAAGAACCAGCTTTGCCTGAAGGGCTTGAATTGTTACCCCGCACGAAGTGTGGGCACTTTGGTCAAAGGAACAAGTGGTTTGCGAGCCGTGTGTAGCCAACAACACCTTCTGTCGAGCTCAGCAGCACGTATACTTCCGGCACGAGTTGACTCGATACTGCCTTGTTCTTAGTGGGACGCACAGCCCAAACTCCTCTAAACCCTAAACCCTAAACCCTGAACCCTGAACCCTAAACCCTAAACCCTCAACCCTCAACCCTCAACCCTAAGCCGATGAACGTTTGTGGACATGCCAGGCTGTGCCTGGAGCTGGTTGGCAAAGGTGCTGAGCGCCACTGTTTTCTGGATCTGGACCTCGCAAGATGTTCCAGAATCGATGGTTTAGAGTTTAGGATTTAGGCGGGTTTAGGGTTTAGGGTTTGGCCCTGCAAATGCGCAGCGCCTAGTGTACATCATGACACGCCCAGAAAACCGTGACATCGTTCGAGGGCTGATCGGCGTGCGAAGCACGATCTCTGGCTAGGATGCATGCTGACGCCGGCCTTTAACTTCAAGGGTCGAACAAAAAGAACACAGATCCGGAGGAAGGTTTCTGTGCGCTGGACAGGCTTCGCTTGGCTGCGTTGTGATTCGAGCTCCAGGCAACTTTGTCACGAAAGGCTTGGATACCTGCAGCAGCAAGTGCAAGAGCTTCCAAAGACCCTTTGAATAAGCACCCTATGCAGCAACTGCAACTCTGCAAGCTCTGTGTAGTCTCCGAAACCCTAAACCCTTCTAAACCCTAAACCCTAAACCCCAATCCCTCAAACCTTGGGCTCGCACCGGTGCCGAGGATGGCATCCGTCTTTTCGGCAAGATCTGCATCGCACAGAGGAGGCGCACGCGGCATGTGGGAGCTTTGAGGTCTTCGGAAGCTCAGGGTGGAATCATGCTTCCTAAGAACTGTAAACACTTGCAAGTCCTATAATTAAGCCCTAAACCTATGTGTCATTAATTCTGCTGCACTATGACCCCTTTTCGGGTCCTGATTATATATATAAGTCCCCTAACTATAATTAAGGGTACCTGCGAACTGACCATGTGGGCGCCTGATGTGACTTTCTCTTGCGACACCTCAGGCACAAGGCGAGGCAAAGCGCAAAGCGCGCAAAAAACACATGAAACGTGTGCAGTGTACAGTCATAAACTTAGAGGTCTCATGCCGCGAATTATAGTATAAGCTCTCATAGTCACGAGGAACACGGCGAGTAGGACGAAGACTTCAGAGGAGGAGAAAGCATTTCGTTTGTAGAGCGGCTCCCATTCTGCTCGCGGAGCGCCACTCATCACAGCTGAGCAACTGCTCTCTACCCCAGCGCGCCTGCACGTTCATCTGCTCCAGAGCCCGCAAGAGCTTGTCCATAAGTTGGTGCTGGCAGCAGACAGACAATGGACAAGGACGTCAGAAAACACAAAGGAACTCCTTGCCAACATAAGCCCGGGAGTGTGAAAGAAAAGGGTGGTCGTCAAGCCCCGCGTTGTGGAAACGCCATTCGCTGAACATGGGAAGGCGCAGCGCACTTGTCAATCACACGAACATGACATGTCTTACCACTAAGATCTGGTTCCCTTCGAGCTGTGACAAGGAGTAGTCCAGTAGTGTCCCTGGCCTCTGCCAGTTTGGCTTGTTTCTCCGTTTGTGTTCGCCCGCCCTCAGAAGCATGAGTGGCATGTAACACCAGAGTTGTCCAAGTGGTTTTCCTTCCACTTCGATACCTGGATGCGCACAGCCGATGTGGATCCGTCGGTTCTGCTTTGAGGGAGGGGATGGCACTCCTAAACCCAAGACCCAAGACCCTAAACCCCAAACCCACCATATAACCTCGCGAGGGCAGCGGCCAAAAGGCCACGGAGTTGGAGGCGCAGGAAAACGAGCTGCAAAAGGAAAGAGATAGAAATAAGACCAACCAAGAAACAAACTATACATACATACACACATACGTCACATACGTATTATGCGAATATCTGTATACTTTTTGGTAGGCCCTACCTCTTTCGACAGCGCAGCCAGTCGTGTGCACAGCTTTTGGCTCTACTTTTGGTCTGCACTTGCCCACGGGCCTGCTCCTTCAGCTCCGACCGATGGCCCTCCAACAGGCGGGTGACGCGGAAGGATCGCCTTGCCATAAAGCCCGCCACCACACGCACCCCGAGACTTCGACTACGTTAAGACCAAAATCGTCGGCTTTTTGCGCTGCAAACCTACAAGCAGGGCGTATACCATCTTCAGCCGACCATGGCAACCATCAACGCTAAACCCTAAATCCTGAATCAACAACATTCAACAACCTCCCACTGAAACGCAGGGAAGGAGACTCATAGAATGAAAAAGCTGTGCATCCAGTACCCAGATTCCAGGACCTCTGCTTTACCCCCCCCCCAGAGCTGTAATCCTTCATATGGGAACCCCCCAAAGAACCTCCAGACAGGTACCCTAATGATGGGAACCTGCCCACAATTCACTCTCTTGCACTTGCCGCATCTTGCCGCGAGGTGCGCCTCTTGAACGTCTTCTCTATCTTCCAAGCAGCCTTAGTTCCCCAGTGAAAGCTTGCAACACCCCTAGCCCCAAACCCCAAACCCTAAACCCTGAACCCGAAGACCTTGACCTTAACCCTAAACCCGAAATCGGCCTCCCCGTCTGCCTCACCTAACCCCCCTTGAATCGCTCTACTCCCGCAGCGAAGTCTCACAAACCTACGCCCAAACGCACTGCAACTGATGACTTTGATGACTCGGCTGAGCAGAGCTATGTCTGCCCCTGTTAGTCCGAACACACCTGCCTCGGCCGAACTTAGGCCTCAGCGGTATTGGCAATTCCTTATACAGGCCAACGAACTGCCAAGACCCGACTCACCTGCCACCACGACTGAGGCGAAGGACCAGGGCAGCAGAATCCAGACTGTCAAGCTGATCTTTGGCAGCTGACAGCTCCTTCGAAGGGGGGGGGGGGGGGGGTGGTCTTGCGAAACATGTCCTAAAGCTGCCGTCTTCAAAAGAGCTGCATATATATATATATATGGCAGCATATATATATATATATATATCATTCATATATGATATAATATGATATCATGTAATGTTGAATTCCCGGGCATTGGGGCAGAATTGGCCTAACAACTCTTGCTGCGTTGAGGGCATAAGTCTGAAATGATTGCAGAAAATACGCTCTGAGAATCACAAAAGTACCTGGGACCAACACCGTCCGCCGGGCCATGCAGTCCAACAGCCGAGACCTCCCGTTCGGTGATCGAGAACGACACCAGGCACATCACATCATGCAGGTGACTTAGCCACGGAACACCCTGAAGCCTGTATACACCCAATATAAGCCCCCAAAAAACTCATGAACTACGAAAACCCTAAACGAACGCTGACAATAAACCCTACATACGCCCTAGAATTATACCCCCTAGATGCAGCTAAATTCCACAGGCGAGGCTTGGGGCCCAGCTGCTTGGCAGTCAGCGCCAGCCACGTGCGCTCTCTCTTCATGCCTTGTCCCGCAAGGTGCAAAAAAATGGCAGCTGCTCAGGGTTTAGGGTTTAGGGTTTATAGGGTTTGGGGTTTAGGGTTTAGGGTTAAGGGTTTAGGGTTGAGGGTTAAGGGTTGAGGGTTAAGGGGGTTTAGGGGCTTCTGCACAGTTAAGTGGTTGCGGCGCTGTTGGTGCAAGCCAGAAGCCTTTGCAACAGATTTTGGGGTGACGGTTGGTGGAAGGGGTGCGGTGCAGTCGCAGCACACTTCCCCTGCCAAGACGGAGAGTGGTACAAGTGACCAGGCTTCTGCATCGAGACAGTGGTGAGCGCAGCAGCGCCCGACGAAACAAGCAACTTGGCTTATGGCGGGCAGACTCGAGATTTACTTCGCCTCAGCTGGACAACATCCTTCTGCTTTCATCGAGCTGAATCAAGGGTGCCAAAGCAAACCAAAAATCAAAAACAAAAACAAGTCCTGGACCTCCACAGCTGAGGCCGGTGCGGGTGAGTCCTGGCTGGGACATCCGGTGCACACCCATCTCGAGCTGCGTGCAGAGCCTGTGGCACATTACTCAGCACACTTTCCCACCAAGGCGCCCCCGGATTCTCAGCACGCCATCACCCGAGTGCCAAGCTCATCACAGTCGCTGGTGTCATCCCTCAGGGTACCTCTGGTTTTGGGGTTTAGGGTTTAGGGTTTAGGGTTTAGGGTTTAGGGTTTAGGGCTACGATCTGGCAAGCTGCCATCTGAGTTCTGGGCTATTGAGAAGCTGAAGACAGGTCCGCAGGACAGAGCCGTGTGCGATGACGACCTCACAGATACTTCAAGTATATCCGAAGTATCCTTCTTCATAGAGAAGCCGCGAACTAGGTGCCTTATATTGTTTCCCCCAAAAGCAGCCCTAAAACCTAAACCCTAAACCGTGTCGGGGATCCTGCAGGGCACCTGACTCTCTCACTGAGAGCCGGCTAGAGAGCTCTACTCGATCTGAGCCTGCTCATGCCAGTACTCTGCCACGATGGTCCGGAAACGGTCCACCGCCTCTGCTAGGGTTTAGGGTTTAGGGTTTAGGGTTTAGGGTTTAGGGTTTAGGGTTTAGGGTTTAGGGCTCAGGGTTCAGGGTTTAGGGACTCAATGCCAAATCGGGTTCAGGGTTTAGGGACTCAAGCCAATGCAAAAGCCTCCAGTACTGTGGCACTACAATGTATCGCGCTCACACAGCTGCAAATTGCAATTGTTCACCTCTGCACACCGACATGGAAAGTAATAAGCTATGTGAAACTGCGCAAAAAGGCTTAAGAAGGCAAGAAATCTCGCTGTAACCGGCAGACGGATCCACATGCAGATTCTCTGTTCGAGCCCTGTTGCAACCATCCCGCTTTTTCCCCAACTCATGCCGGCACTGCAACGTCGAAATAGTCAAGAAAGAGATCATCATCGCGCCGGAACTCATCACCTCAGCAGTCCAAGCGTGGCCCGGGCGACGCAACACACAACAGCCGGACCACAACCAGAACTGCAATTAAGCCTACGAAGCTCAGGTGGCTGAACATCACCACCTGTTCTTTATCCGCCACGACACGGATTTTAGGTTTCCTGCATCTTCCTGCTTGCTGCCAGGTTGCTGAGGTGATGGAGTCGTTCCAGCTTCACCAAGTCAGCGCCACACCTTCGTTCGCGTGCTCTGTCTCTTCTCTTTCTCTTGCTGGTTTTCCTCTGTTCCAGCATGTGCTTAATGAGTGACACCAGTATCGCCAGAACATCACAAGCCCAGAAGACCCCGACACAAATCCCAGACAAAAAACTGAAACAAACCGAGGTTTCAAGCCATCCCCTTTTGCTTCTTCTCCTTCTTCTGCTGCACCCCTGTGGCCCGGCCAGGGGGCTCCCCCCCTCTCGCTCTACATTTCCCTTGCAGTCTTTCTTTCAAGGGCTGAGCAAAGGCTACATCCGAGCCTGCCAAGGTCCCTTCTATTACTTCCTGGCAGGTACACAATGAAAACCAATTCCCTTACAGCTTGCCATCTTCCTTTACTCCCAGCTCTGCCCAGAAACGCATGAAACCACTCTACAGCGGTCTACAGTTCTCAACCGCATGTGCAGCTCCAAACTTTTTCAGTCTCGGTGCCTCTGTCTGTCATGTTTCTGTCCATCTTTCATACTTCTTTCGGAAGACATTCCGCCCGACCATGTTGATGTTGGCGAGAAGAAACTGTTGGCCCGACATGGTTCGAAAGTAGGTGGCATCACCAACTTCGTTAAGCCACTCCTCCAGGGTTTAGGGTTTAGGGCTGCCCCGTTCTCCCCAGGCCATTGCCCTGCCTCGACTCTGGGTCACGTGAATTCGTACTACGACGGGTGGCGGCAAAGGGGCTCGTGCCCCTCAAAACCATAAAGGACTGGCAACGCCGCCACCACTTCACACCTGCCCTTGGGACAGACACTCGCTTGGATTCCCACTCTCCAGCCCTGCAATTTGTCCTCCTTTTGCTGCGTCTCCAGCCAATGCTGGATGTCCTTTTCGTGGGTTCCATTCGAACGGGGCCCCGACGAACCCCTCGTTGCTCGGGCTCTAAAAACCCCTAGGGGCATGCTTACCCAACCGGTGCATGCTCTTCTCTCTCTCTCTCTCTCTCATCTCCGTGTCCGTGTCCTTCCCTCCCGCCCTCCCAGCAGAGGCTTGCACTTGACATCCATCGCCGCCTCCACTGACCCGAAACTTTTGGCCGCGCCTCCGTGCTACAAAATGGGACATGCCCGAATGCGTGGTTTGCAAGGACATGTGAACATGTCGGGGGCTCGACTCTTGCTTGTCTGCAGGTTGCCCCATCAAGCCAGAACTGCATCTTCGAGCTTTAGAAGCTGACCGAGACTACTGAAGTTTCGGCTGCAGTAGATTCTCACGCTCCCTCCTGAATAATGGCCATCATAAGTGCATCATAGGAATTTAGGCAATAGAAATAGTTCTCCATCCTACCCAAAGGATCCATGTACCTATATAGTATATACTTGGGCCTTAAAGGGGTTCCTATATAGTAGCTTTAGGGCCCAAGTATATACTATATAGGTACATGGATCCTTTGGGCTACATATCAACAGTTCCTCAGAGTTTGTAGCCCGACTTTGCGGAGAGTCCAAGTCTGCAGGCACCCCGGGCACTCCCCAACTCCATCACCTCCGTAGGGTTTAGGGTTTAGGGTTTAGGGTTTAGGGTTTAGGGTTTAGGGTTTAGGGTTTAGGGTTTAGGGTTTTAGGGTTTAGGGTTTAGGGTTTAGGGGCGCCCGAACCGCTGGGTGCCAGGCCATATTGCTGCGTCAGGCCCTCAGGGCAGCTGTTGTGCCACAGAATCCCACCATCTCCCCTTGGCATGACTCATCCCTCTGCCTGTACGATGAGTAGCTGAACCTGCGTGTCGTTCACAACAGTGGCCGCCTGGTGGCTGCATTTTGTCCGGAGTTGCGTGGGGAGAGAAGGAAAGGTTTAATCGTTTCATGGTCTCATGGTTGGGGTGCTACGTTGGAAAGCAGGATTCATTGTCTGTGCCTGAGTGGCGCGTCCGCACATGTTCAGACTCTCAAGGCGTCAGCTGTACTTTGTGGGTCCCAACGCGCATGGCCCCATGAAGTGCAATTCTACTTCCACAGCCTTCTGGTCACTGGCCGCTTTGATTTCGGCATCAGCACCTTCCACTTCTCCAATCTTGTCATCTGCTAGCACCAAAAAAAGATACACGTTCACATGACACCAATACCTTACACGTACATCGCTTGATACATATATATATATATATATATATGCTACCCCCCCCCCCATAGGCCCACGTTTTCGCGAGTTTTAGCGTGTTTTACACACAAAAAAAACATAATTTACTACTTTTTTTGCTGCCCAGACATCTCCAGATGCAGGCGAGATACCTTGGATGAGCTTTGCATTGTTTGCTTTAAAACATTGTTTTTTTTGGACAGTACAGCACTTTGGAGTCCTGGGACAGCAGAGACGCTGTACTGTCCCAAAAAAAACCCTTTCAAGCCAAAACAAGCAAACATGCTGTACTGTCCCAAAAAAACCAAAAAAACACAAAGTTTAGAGACCTTGGACGCCAAGTGGCCTGGAGGTCTACAAACTTTGGTTGTTTTGGTGTTTTTGGGACAGTACAGCATTTTTGCATTGCTTGCTTTAAAAACAGTGGTTTTTTTTGGACAATACAGCACTTTGGAGTCCTGGGACTGCAAAAACGCTGTGCTGTCCAAAAAAATCCAATCTTTTCAAGCCAAAACAAGCAAAAATGCTGCACGGTCCAAAAAAAACAAAGTTTAGAGACCTTGGCGGACTGCAAAAACACTGTACTGTCCCAAAGAAACCAGTCTTTGAACCGATTCACATTACTTTATACAGGAGTCCTATTGGTTCCTACTTATTTTAATAAGATTCCTTCTCATTTTGACAGGATTCCTATGAATTATAGCCGGTGCTTTTCAATTTGTTAAGGGTTCCTATTCATTTTAAAGGTTCCCTATTAACGTTTATCGTTTCCGAAAAATATTGGCAGGATTCCTATGAATTCAATAGAGGATTCCTATCTATTTTCATAGGATTCCGACAAAGTTTCATAGGGCCCCTGATTATTCTAATGAGGCTCCTACTAATGTAATAGGATTCCTATCAATTTTAGGGTTCTTATTTATTCATATTAATGGGATTCGTATTCATTTTAATAGGGGTCTCATTCGTTTCAAAAGGATTCCTATTGGTTTAGGCTCATATTCATTTAGTAGGATTCCTATTAATTCTTGTTATAGGAATCTTATTCTTTCATAGGAGTTCTACTTCCTATTAATCTTAGTAAGAAACCTTCTCAGTCTAGTAGGAGTCCTATGAATTACCAAGCGTTCTTTTTGATTTGTGAAGGGTCCCTTTTCATTCTAATCGGCTTCCTATTAGCTTTTATCCGGAAAAAATTGATAGGATTCGTGTGAATTCAATGAAAGGTTCCTACTTATTATCATAGGATCCCAATAAAGTATCATAGGGTTCCTAAATATTTTTCAGAAGGCTCCTACTCATGCAACAAGATTCCTATCAGAAGTGCTGTACTGTCCCAATCTTTTTGAAACAGAGAAGCAAAAACACCGTATTGTCCCAATCTTTGACGTGGAGACCCTGAAAAGATTGTTTGTTTTTTGAGTTTTTTGGGACAGTACAGCGATTTTGCAAGCCTGGACCCAAAAACATTGGGACAGTACAGTGTTTTCGACACCTGGAGGGCCTGAAGTGCTGTACTGTCCCAATCTTGTAGGCTGAGAGGAGCAAAAACACTGTACTGTCCAAAAAACTCAAAAAAAAACAATCTTTTCAGGGCAGGTCAAAGATGGGGACAGTGCGTGTTTTTGCATGCCTGGACCCAAAAACATTGGGACAGTACAGCGTTTTCTGCACCTAGAAGGCCTGAAGTGCTGTACTGTCCCAATTTTTTCTGGGACAGTGAAGCAAAAACACCGTACTGTCCTACAAACTCAAAAAAACCAATCTCCAGCTCAAAGATTGGGACAGTACAGCGTTTTGCATGACTGGACCCAAAAGATGGGGACAGCACAGCGTTTTCTGCACCTGGAGGGCCTGAAGTGCTGTACTGTCCCAATCTTTTTGAGACAGAGAGGCAAAAACACCGTACTGTCCCAATCTGTTACCTGGAGACCCTGAAAAGATTGGGTTTTTTGAGTTTTTTGGGACAGTACCGCTTTTTTGCATGCCTGGACCCAAAAAACATTGGGACAGTGCAGCGTTTTTGCATGCCTGGACCCAAAAACATTGGGACAGTACAGTGTTCTCGACACCTGGAGGGCCTGAAGTGCTGTACTGTCCCAATCTTTTAGGCTGAGAGGAGCAAAAACGCTGTACTGTCCCAAAACTGTCCCAAAAAACTCAACCAATCTTTTCAGGGTCTCCAGGTCAAAGATTGGGACAGTACAGTGTTTTTGCATGCCTGGACCCAAAAACATTGGGACAGTACAGCGTTTTCTGCACCTAGAAGGCCTGAAGTGCTGTACTGTCCCAATTTTTTTGGGACAGTGAAGCAAGAACACGGTACTGTCCCAAAAAACTCAAAAAAACCAATCTTTTGAGGGTCTCCAGCTCAAAGATTGGGACAGTACAGCGTTTTTGCATGACTGGACCCAGAAGATGGGGACAGTACAGCGTTTTCTGCACCTGGAGGGCCTGAAGTGCTGTACTGTCCCACTCTTTTTGAGACAGAGAGGCAAAAACACCGCACTGTCCCAATCTTTGAGCTGGAGACCCTCAAAATATTGTTTTTTTTGGTTGTTTTGGGACAGTACAGCGTTTTTGCTTCTCTGAGCCTCAAAGATTGGGACAGTACAGCGTTTTTGCATGCCTGGACCCAAAAAAATTTGGGACAGTACAGCATTTTTGCATGTCTGGACCCCAAAACATTGGGACAGTACAGCGTTTTCTGCACCTGGAGAGCTTGAAGTGCTGTACTGTCCCAAACTTTTTGGGACACAGACGCAAAAACACTGTACTGTCCCAATCTTCGAGCTGGAGACCCTCAAAAGATTGTTTTTTTGGTTTTTTTGGGACAGTACAGCGTTTTTACGCGTCTGAGCCTAAAAGATTAGGACAGTACAGCGTTTTTGCAGTTTCTATTTGCCCTGGGAGGCCCCTAAACCTAAACCCCTAAACCTCCGGTGTAGCCAGGGCACCTGAGGCAGGCAAAACTATAGCAAAAGTGTGGACCTATGGGGCGGGGGGGGGGGGGGGGGGTACCATACATATATGTATATATATATATATTGCATACAAGACAGAGGACTCCTTCATACATCACATACAATAAACATACACCAGGTGTCTAGGAAAGGCAAAGCTCCGTTGTGCCAAAGACCCCCCCCCCCCCCTGGCGGGCTCTGAGCTTCTGAGCTCGCAGCTGGCAAGCTCGGCTTCCAAGTGCTGGACCTCTGTGGACTGAGCCTCCAGACAGGAATCTCAGTCCATCTTCTTAGGGTTTGGGGTTTAGGGTTTAGGGTTTGGGGTTTAGGATGCAAGAGGAGTCGCAAACCGCCCCCCCCCACCCCCCCGACCCACCCACAGCGCCTTGATGTAGATGTCAGTAATGCTGAAGATCTTATGCCAAGGCCTCAGAACAGTCCAGCACAAGTTCCCAAGACCAAGCACATGCCAACCTTCCTTCCCCCCCCCCCCCCCCCCAAGTCTCTTGGAACTCGGCATGATGGCGGACCTGGCAGCCGAAAATGACGAAACAAATCAAGTTTAGACCTTAGGGGTTCATGTACCTAAAGAGGGTATACTTGGGCCGTAAATACCTCTTATATAAGGACTTTGGGGCGCAAGTATACACAAACAAGGTACATAGACTTTTAGGGATCAGTCTTTGAGAAGAATCATCCAACTTGAAGACTCGAAGACCTACGGCGGCACTCCGTCAATCTGAGCTGGGCGGGCTCATGCACACGCATGAGGCTGATGATGTCATCCTGAGTCATCAAATATGGACAGGTTCTCAGCATGCTTGTGTGTGGGCGTCTGCAACTGCGAAACCGTAGAGACTTGAACCGCGCGTGCAAGGATGGATGGGTCTTGCTGCCAATTGCCATGAAGGTACTTAGCTGTAACATGCCGTTTATCTGTAATGAACATACATACACATATGTATACACATACACGTATAGAACACATCAGAAAAGATTGAGTTGATGGTGTGTATATGCACATATATGTATACATGGAGTATAATATATCACAGAAGATAAAAAAAGACGAACATTAAGGATAGCATGTAGAATAACACAATACTTGCGTTATACACTATGCAATACATAGGAAATCATCTGCCGTAGTTATTATACTGAAACCGTAAACCCTAAATCCGGAACCCTAAAACCTAAACCCTAAACCCTGAACCCTAAACCCTAACCCCTAAACCCTGAACCCCAAAACCTAAACCCTAAAACCCTAAAACCCTGAAAACCCTAAAACCCTGAGCTGAACCGGCTTCCACTCATGGCTGGAAGGCGCTGGGCCCAAGACGCCTCCACAAGTGCCCTGGAAGGTGGAGGGAAGGGCGCCCTCCTCCCAAGAGGCAAGGGATTGGGTCTAGGGTTTAGGGTTTAGGGTTAGGGTTATAGGGTTTGGGTTTAGGATTTAGGGATTCAGGCTGTAGGGTTTAGGGGCTAGGTTTTTGGAGGAACTTGTCTGTCTCTCATTGCTTCGCACTCAGAAACCACAGAAAAGAGCGCCATGTTTAAGCCAAAGGCCTGCACTCCCTGGGCTGTTGTATACAGCGTAGCCAGCTCAAGGTCAGCACCTTCGCAGGCAGGTTTGTCTAGGGCTTTCTGAGGTTGGTTGGTTGGTTGGTTGGTGGACTTGCAACTGTGCCATGCTCATCTTGGTTCTGATGAGCCGAAGTCTTGGAAAGCTCCGGAGCTGCGCCTACGATCGAGGAACGCTCGGACACAGCCCACCTCGGGTGCTGAAAAGAAGAGCACGTATCAAAAATGGCCGGCCGGCAAAGTATGCTGGATCAGTCAACTCGACGCGACCCTGCCGAGGTTGCAGCGAGACAAGCCGCAGCCAAGCAACGAGATAGAGGGCCTGAAAAGTTGACGATGGCTTCGAGCTTGCATGCCCACAAGATGCAGGAACAGATGCTATAGACAGGCTACTGATATCGTGATCTGAGGTCTTCGCTTTACTTGAGATGATTGCTCGCAGGCTTAAGGTATCAAGCCTCTGCCAACGCACCCGAAGACGAGCTCCATGAGTCCAAACCGACCGAGACCGGGTGGGGCAAGCCGAACCGAACAACAGCCCAACCCTACAGAAATGATAAATAAACAAATAAAAAGAAAATAAATACATAGATCTGTATGGATAGATAAACATAAAGAGTAAATATCTATTTATATGTTCACTTGTTTCTTCATTTGTAGTTCTGTGTATATACAGGTACATTGAGAATAAGAATACTGCTGATCAGAATACTCAAAAACAGAGTGTGATAACAAAAATATTCATGATGACAACGTCTATTCAAGTTTGATGATACTGATAGAGACAAATATCTGCACAATTTATAATAATTCACACTAATTGTTTTGGATTTTCCGTCGTCGCTAAATCTAAGCCCGATACCTTTATTCTGCTTTTGCGTCGCAGCTAAATCTCGCTAATTTGGTTCCGTCGCACACCAAAAGAACAACAGGCAGGAAACTCAACCCCCAAGCGAATGAGCCACCCAAGCGAATTAGCTGCCGATTCATTCTAAACGAATTAGCTGCTACTTCGTTCGGTTCGCAGTTTAGCCTCCTAGCACCAGCAAAATCAAACCAAGCGAATTAGCTGCTATTTCATTCGGTTCACCCCACCACCCCCCCCCCCCCCCCCCCCCGGCAAACTCAACCCCCAAGCGAATGAGCCACCCAAGCGAATTAGCTGCCGATTCATTCTAAACGAATTAGCTGCTAGTTCGTTCGGTTCGCAGTTTAGCCTCCTAGCACCAGCAAAATCAAACCAAGCGAATTAGCTGCTATTTCGTTCGGTTTCACCCCCACCCCCCCCCCCCCCCCCCCCGCCTCCACCGACCGCCGCTTGCTGGGCAAGCTTGGGTTCATTGTAGTGCCAAACCAGCAGAAAACAAAACCAAGCGAAATAGTTGCTAATTCGTTCGGTTACAGTTTAGCCTCGTAGCACCAGCTAAACTCAAACCAAACGAATTAGCTGCTAATTCGTTCGGTTCACTCCCCCGCCCCACTTGGACCGCCGCTTGCTCCAACACCCCTGAACACAGGCGGGTTCACGCAGGAATTTGCTAAGTAGCCGCTAATGCGCGAGCGAGCTAATTCGCGTTTTTGGGAGGGGATTGGGAGGGGGATTCGAAACGCGAACCTTCGATTCTGAAGTCAACGCCTTGCCCGTGTCGCTACAGAGGAAGTGGCACATTTAACGCACACTGCCTAATGACCTTGAATCACATGGCCCCAACCCAAACAATTGTACACAACCACAAACGAATTAGCCGCTAATTCGTCCGAACCCCCTACAAATGGAATTCGCGAATTTGTCGCTAATTCACCAATTCGCTCCCCGCTCCCCAAACCCAAAATTGAACCCCCCTTCGCCCCCCCCCCCCCCCCCCCCCCCCCCCCCCCCCCCCCCCCCCCCCCCCCCCCCCCCCCCCCCCCCCCCTCCCCCCCCCTACCCTCCCCCCCTACCCCCACACTCCCCAAACCCCAAAAATTGCTAATTCCAAGTTGCGGCTAGTTCCCCCCCACCCCTCCAACACCCCCCTTCAAGGACGCTTCGAGGTTTAGGGTTCAGGGTATGTGCTTGTCAGGCTTATTTCCTGCTATTCATTTTCCGTCGTTGCGTCGCTAATGTTCTTAATTTCATTTTTTCCATCGTTTCCATCGCAATAATTTGGGCAGTAATATTGATAATATTGATCCGTGGAGGAACAGAGTCAGAATCCAAGCGCACGGCGAAACGACTTCTGATGGACATCTGAATTACCTGGCGGGCACGGAAGGAAGCCCCCCCTTGATTCGCTTCGGCCTCTGACTGGTGTTCAGCGAGAATTCCCTCTCTTCTGCCGCACTACCCACCGGAATGCGCAACTGCTTGTCAGCTTCTCCTCAGATTTCAAGGGTGCACTTGCCACCTACGGACCTGTTGACACACTCGACCCACACTTAAGGGGAGCCGGGTTGGCTTTGGAATGTCGGGCTGTTGGGTGCCCCCCTTAGCACCCCACTGCCAGCGGGCAGGCCGAAAACCAAGATTGCAAAATCGTTCACTAACAAGAACAAAGTCCTTTGCAGAATGATCCATTGAGAGGTTGGGAAGCGCTCAATCTTCACCATGGCTCCCCTCACCACGGGCAGCCACAAACGCGCCAGGACTTCGCAAACAACTCAGCTATCAAGGCGCAGGTCTCACAGGCAACCTGCGCATAGGAGCCGACTGAGCCAGGATTACTGGCTTGAGAGCGATGTGCAGCGGTTGCAGAGGTTTCCATCTCTGAAACATGCATTCTACGAGCCACCTCTAGACACCTGTTTCGGCAGAGGAGGTCTCACACGCACCTGAAGCGATGATGCAGCAACGATGCCTTCTTTTGCCACAACGAGTGTGTCGACGCCGGGGCTTCGATTGGGTTGAGTCGTGCGCCGCCAGAGTTCCGCGCGCCTAGGCTCGCTTTGGTTCCAAACGTAGCAGCTGCATGTGCACTTTTCACGCTCAATTCCTCGATGTCGCAAAAAACCTGGCAGGGACGTACACTACTTCCTGGGCGCGTTGATTCCTTGTTGACGGGGCTGCGCAGTGCATATGAAGCTGTATGGCAAACAAAGAGGTAAAGGCTGCCAGGCGCGATGAATAGGAACCACATAGTAGGAGAGGAAGTTTATAACGGGGCCTCGTTGCGTTGGATTTTCTGGGATGCAAGAAAGATCTGGGAGGTCGAAGTGTACAGTTCGTAGTTTGGGAGTTAAACAGCTTCGAGCAAGTGCGTGTTCTGATTTCTTGGATGGCATGGTTGTGGCTCCAGCGGTTCATGTTGAAATGTTGAAACTCCCAACACTGTCAGCACCCCTGAAAGCAGGGTCAATGCTGAACCCGAAAACGAAACTGGGACTCGAAAACCTATAAACCCCCTTCTTTCTTTGAAGCTTCGTAATGAAACTTCGAGCTCTGGAGTTTTGGAAGTCGCCTTGGGGACTGGTGCAACACACAGGCAAGGTCGCCACACTGAACACGAGGTGTCGGGCATCGGGGAGATGGTGTTTAAGTCCCCACATGACCATGCAGCTTTATGAGCTGCTCCCAGCTGAAGCAACAGGAGTCGCTACTTTTCGCAGAGTGTGTCGACAGTCGTCATATGCTCTGAGACTTGCATTGATTTAAGCCTTGTTCATACATGGCTCAGTGTAGCTTCGAGGAAACCCCAACAGAGACTCCTTTTCTTCGGCCGACAACATGCGCCAGCCCAAGGCAGGATAAACAACTCCATTTTCCCGATCATCGTGGACTGGGTCGAAAATGCAGAATTTATGATTGGACGCCGCCTGTCGCCATCCCGGGTTCAGGAAATGCTCCATTTTCACAGCACATGTTGCTAGAATTGTACCGAACTCGCCACGCTGCTCATGAGGAGTATACTTGTGAACTCGCAAAAAATCTCTCAAAGTCGGTCCTTTTTTTCATACACTTGTTTGCCCGACATGGGGGGTGAAACACGGACAGCCAAGGGGTCGATGTTGTCCTCCTGAGCCGTCTATCCATCTCTCGTATTGGACACTGGGCAACTTGCCTCAGGGCCCTTGCCCCTTGTGCAACCACCTGAATCTCCAGTCTTCCCTGTCGCCAGCGCCGCTCGCAGACAACGGCTTTCTCTGCCCGATGCCAGAGCGCCGCGAGAGTACAACCACAAGGATCCTAAGTCCTAAGCATATTTCAAGTAGTCGTCTAAAAAAAGCAGCGGAAGCACTGTTAGAAGGGGCACGGGCTGCTTCGATCTTGGTGAAACATCGGCCTGGCAGTCTGACACTTGTGCAAAGTCAAGTTTGCTCACCGATTGCTTTCGAAGATTCCATGGATTGTAGGATGTCCCCTACAACCTTCTGAAAAATATTACTGAATCTGATCCTCTTAGACCCAATAACTGTATGGATTCCGATTCGGTGCGTTTTTCCTGTAGAGATGTAGACGGGATCGAAGCAGAAGGCATGAAGCTCCCTCTTTCCAATCCAAAGCTATGCACCTACTCGTGTACTGCTAAGCGCAATGCCCCCCCCCCCCCCCCCCCCCGTTAAACCCTAACCCCTAAACCCTGGACCTTTTTGAAGCTGGACTTGCTGACTGCCAGACAACCCTAGACCCTAAACGCTAAACCCTAAGCCCTCAAGCGAACGACTGCGACTGGCCTGGAGGGCCAGAGCTCACGCAGAGGAATGCGCCTCGGCCACTGCAACCGCGACTACTTCCACGATGGCTGCAACGACTGCTGCTGATGCTCTGACCTCTTGCAAATTTCGGTTTGCTATTGGTGCAGAATTTACTGCCAGAAACGTCGGTCCTTGGTACTCTGGTATGGACTCTTTTGCTGACGATCTCTTTGCAGTCATGCTCCGAAACGCTAGATGCTCCCTCCCGCTTGCTGTCGATCCGATGCGCTGAGTAGTGGACCACCCCTCCACCACCCTTTGAGTGGTCCCGCATCATTGACATGAACTCCTGCTCACACTGGGGCGTGCTCGACCCATGACACGAGACGGACAGCCGGAATCAAGTAGTGTTCGCCACGCAACTTACACCCCCTAAACCACCCTGAACCCTAAACCCGAAACCCCAAAACCTTGTAATGTGGTTAAAGAAGCACTATCACACTGACATGGCTCTGTGAGCAGACATGGCTCTTTTTCTCTACTGCTCACTCTCCCTGCACCCACAGCTATGTGATAGCAGCGGCCTTAAAATCGATGAAGCCATCACCATTGCCGTCCACCTCCAGCATCAACTCTGCGATGGCCTCGACTCGGCTATCCTAAGCCTTTCCCAAGAAAGGGTTTAGGGTTTAGGGTTTAGGGTTTAGATGTAGTACGTTTTTTCCCAGACGTGTCACCCACACAAATCAGCGTGAGCAATCTGGTGGGCAAAGATCGCGAGCAAACGCCCAGGGGCAGCAGGGAATAAAATGCGCCTTCGTGCCGACAACTTCCTCTACATCACCGTTGCAGAGCACCTGCACAGTGCAGCCAAAAACTTGGGATGCAGGAAATAGGGCCCTTTTCTACTCCCTTAAAGGGTATTTATTGGGCCCTGCTTCCCTCCTTCCCTACTAAGAATCAGCGTGAAAAAGGAACTGAATGGAGTTTCTCTGGCCCAAAACCAAACCCGTAAGTCGCGCATGAGGTCGTGCAATGGAGTCGAAATGATCACCTGTTGGAGCTCGTCCATGGAGATCTTTCCATCGCCATTCCTGCGCACCCGAGAACATTGAGAAAAGCCCCGTGGGATTGAGTCAGGTTTTACTTGTAAGTTCTAGGGATACAGCCAGGGGTATTCGGTGCTGATCCCATGCCACGCCTGTCGAAGACGCGGAAGGCAGACCAGCAAACGTCTTCTTGGATGTACATCCTTGCAACGTGAAAGGGGCCACGGATGGACTTCCGGTTCTAATTGCACTGATATGAAGCGGGGTTTAGGGTTATAAATAGGGTTTATAGTTTATAGTGTTCGGGATCACCCCAAAACTTAAACAGACAATTTAGGAAGAACTGGTATGGCAGCAAGCTAGCAGCATGCAACCTCTACTGCTGAAGGAGCTCCTCTTATCCAGCGTCGCCGCAAGGAACTCCGTGTAGTCGATGTTCCCACTCCCATCTGAGTCCACTTCCTCAAGAAGCGAGGTCATCACTAAAGCACTTAAGCACTTGGGGGGTTTACGATGTTAGGGGAACCTAATTGGGGTCCTCATTATGAGGGGATCCTGCTATTTTGGGGGGGTCTCTTTTAGGGCCCCCCCCCCCCCTATTTTCGCAAACCCAACAATGTGGCTGGAGAAACCGATTGACCAAGGGCAGAAGCACGCTTTCCATTTCTCGATACCAACGAATGTTCGTTCGTGTATAGATGAACCAGCCTGCCTGTAAACTTACTGTTGGTTAGTAGGGAATGAGTGAAGGAGGTACCCTGTATAATCCCTTAAAGGGTATGTATACGGGGATATAGGGTCCCTCATTCCCTCATTCCCTACTAACCAACAGTAAGCAAAGCCGTGCGACACGCGAAAGGTTTGCCAAGCATTCACCCCGGCGCCCCCCCCCCCCCCCCCCCAAAATGCGCCTGCATGATCTGCAGCAAGTCTCCTGGGATGTCTTTCAAGCCCGCCCTTAGTCTTCCGTGAGTAACAATTCTTGAAACCCTAAACCCTAAACCCTAAACCCTAAACCCTAAACCCAAAAACTGCGGGCTAGATGAAGAAACAGGGGCTCGGACTTCGAGAGCCCTTCTTTCAGCTCGTTGACCGTCAGGTAGCCTGGCAGGAAGCCAAGCTTGTGAGTTTAGGTGGGGTTTAGGGTTTAGGGTTTAGGGTTTAGGGTTTAGGGTTTAGGATTTAGGGTTTAGGGTTTAGGGTTTAGGGGTTAGGGTTGGTGTTAGGGTTTGGGGTTCAGGCTTTTAGAGTTAAGGGTTTATCGGTTTTTGGGTTTAAGGTTTAGGGTGTTAGGGTGTTAGGGTGTTAGGGTTTTGGGGTTTGGGGGTTTTGGGGTTTTGGGGTTTTAGGGTTTTAGGGTTTTAGGGTTTTGGGGTTTTAGGGTTTTGGGGTTTGGGGGGTTTTGGGGTTTTAGGGCTTAGGGTTTTAGGGTTTCAGGGTTTTAGGGTTTAGGGCTGGGCCTTGACATAATTTGGGGGTTTTGGAACATGCCGGGACACACCATCCCCGTTTCCGTCGATCATCATGAAGATGTCGCGGAGCTGTTTGATCTGATCCTGACTCACGGCCGAACTCCTTCAGTAAGCTCCACCTTGAACCACCTATATTGGGATGCTCCCCCTTATACTAACAGTCCTTAAAGGGTACTATAGTAACCCTAAACCCTAAACCCTAAACCCCAAACCCCAAACCCTACTAAGGACTGTTTGTATAAGGGGGAACATCCCACGACGCATCTTGCAAGCACTCCCGGGATGTCCATGACCCTTCCGCGGAACCCCGAGTCCTCGTTCAGCTGTCCGGCGATGATGTGCAAAGCCGCCTGCAAGGTTTAGGGTTTAGGGTTTAGGGTTTAGGGGTTTAGGGGTTTAGGGGTTTAGGGGTTTAGGGGTTTAGGGGTTAAACCCTAAACCCTAAACCCTAAACCCTAAACCCTAAACCCTAAACCCTAAACCCTAAACCCTAAACCCTAAACCCTAAACCCTAAACCCTAAACCCTAAACCCCCTAAACCCTAAACCCTAAACCCTAAACCCTAAAAACCTAAAACCCTAAACCCTAACCCCCCCCCCCCCCTTTCCGGCCTTTTTCAGCTTGTTCTGAGAGCGGAAGCCCCGGAGGTTGTCAACAAAGTTGGACTGGAGGCTGACGTTCTGAGCCTTGGGCGCCTTGAGCTTGATCCTGAGAGCCCAACGTGGGGGGTTTAGGGTTTAGGGTTTAGGGTTTAGGGTTTAGGGTTTAGGGTTTAGGGTTTAGGGTTAGGGTTTAGGGTTTAGGGTTTAGGGTTTGGGGGTACCTTGTTGGGGTCCTTTTGATAAGGGAATCCTACTATTTGGGGGCTATATAAGGGGTCCCTGATTACCCTGATTTTCGTAAACCTCCAAATAGGCCCAAAGACACGAGAGGAGGAAGGTGACAGCTGCTGAGCATGCTAGCTTCTAGAGCATGGTAGCATCTGACAAAAGGGTGTAGTGCAAGAACTTTGCGTGTGCTCCATGCCGCTGCCAAAGCCGCCTGACTGGGGCCCATGCCACTCATGCTGAAGCGCCTGGTCTGCAGTGAACCTTCACGCTGCCAAGAAATTACCACGTAACCACTCGACCAGTTGGGTTTAGGGGTTTAGGGCTTAGGGTTTTTGAGGGGCTTAGGCTGCTTTCCGGATATGCCCCCCCCACAAAGCGGTCTCTGGAAGCAAGCTGCCCGAAAAACCTGCCTGTCTCTTGGGTTCATCTTCAGCAGGTTCCGTATGAGGTCTTTGGCATCCTACCACGGCCACATGATGGGTAAGGGCGGGATTGGAGAAAAGCTCAAATGCATGAAAAGATCAACAAGACATACCACCAAATGCTTTTAGCCATAACTATCGTCCCAACGTCAGCAGTAAGTTCATAGCAACAGCAATTGTAATGACAATCATGGTACTAACAATTATTCCTAACCCTAAACCCTAAACCCTAGCCCTAAACCCTAAACCCTGAACCCTAAACCATGAAGATCCTGATCTACTATTCGGGGTGTTAGGGTTTCGGGCTTTAGGGCTTTCGGGCTTTGTAGAAATTGTATAGGGTTTGGGTCCCAAAAAGTTCGGACCGAAAGTCTTGACCGAAAGGATGTTTCTTTCGGCACCTAGTTTGTATTTCCGAGTGGAAAAACCGCCAAGGTTCGGGACCCAAGAGACCCCGCCTGAAAAGCCGTAGGTTTCGGCACCCTGGGGTCTGAAAAGTTGCTCTCTCGACTGCTCAAGAGACTCAACCTTGAGTGCAAGTCTCTTCATTGCCAGAATGAGCAAAAAGGTTCACGCTTATCAGTTTGAGCAAGACCATTTGAGATTGTATAGGACTTGGGCCCCAATAACGTTTTGAACGAAACGTTTTGAATGAAACGTTTGCACGAAACGTCTTGAACTTTTCAACCTATCAATATTTTTTGGGTGGCGGCTGGGCGGGGCGAGGGGGCCTCTGGGGGCCGTTTGGAGGCTTCCAGAGCCTTTGTGTTCTTCTAGGACCTTTGGGTTAATTTACTTGAACTCGACTTGTCAGCTGTTTAGACAAACAACTCGGAAAATTCACAATGCTATCACATGCAACTTCGACTTATTTGGTCTTGAGGGTTTAGGGTCCGGGGCTACAGGGTTTCAGGGTTTAGGGTTCAGCGTTTTCAGGATGCTAGGGTTTCGGGTTAGAGGGTTTTGGGGTTTAGGGTTTAGGGCTTAGGATTTCAGAGTTCTGAGGTTTGAGGGTTTAGGGTTCAGAGTTTCCGGGTTTTTGTTTAGGGTTTAGGGTTTCAGGGTTTTAGGGTTTAGGGCTTCAGGTTGTTATTTTAGGGTTTTATGGTTGAAGGCGATAGGGTTTTAGGGTTGAGGGTGTTAAGGTTTTAGGGTTTCAGGGTCGAGGGTGACAGGGTTTAGGGTTTTTGGGTGTTGGGGGCAAGGCTGCAGCAGGCCCTAGAGCGTCCTCCGAGACATTCTTCCAGTCTGCGGGGTTAAAACTGAAGTTGCCCATCTTCACCTCAGCAAGATGAACCGAAACTTACTCCTAAACCCTAAGCCCTCAACCCTAAACTCTAACCTTAGACCTTAAACCATGCACTCGGAAGTCGCATTCCTGGGGCCGAGGCTTTGGATAAGACTTCTTGGTCGGAGTCCCCAAAAAAGGGAGGATAGCCACACAGCAATACAAACATGATGACCTGGCAAAGCTCTGCATTTGTTGGGTGGCATCTCTGTTACTGAGAATGGCACTTCCAACAACGTCTCCGCATTGGGCTGCGTGGGAATATGACCAAATAAGCAACACCCTACACCCCAAACACTAAATTAACCCTAAACCCTAGCATGTATACATATATATATATATATTAGTTATATTTATATTTACATTTATATTGGCTTTTATTTGTTTCTATTTATCAGTATTTATTTGTATGTGCGTGGTAGCGATGCCAACTCCAACGTGACGGCAGCACGCCACAGCTCCAGAGGTCCGAAGCCTGAACCCGAGCTGCAAACGTCTCCAGCCATGGGTGGGGGTTTGAGAGTAGGACAAGCATGGTAGGGTCTAGGGTCTAGGGTCTAGGGTCTAGGGTCTAGGGTCTAGGGTCTCGGGTCTAGGGTTTAGGGTTTAGGGTTTAGGGTTTAGGGTTTAGGGTTTAGGGTTTAGGGTTTAGGGTTTAGGGTTTAGGGTTTAGGGCGTGGGATTTTGGGTGTTAGGGTGGAAGCATCTCGTCACCAGCATCATCAATCGAGCTATATTTCGGGAGCATTGGCATGTTCAGAGACCCAAGGATTAGCAGAGCTCGGCTGGAACAGCGAGGAGGTGGCGAGGGGATGGCGAGGGGCCTCGTCGTACTTGCCCGACAAGACCTGCGGCGCGACGTAGTATGGGGTACCTGCCTGGCGCAGCTGTCAAGTAGAGCCATCTGTTGGGATGTTCTATACTAACAGTCCTTAATGGGGGATTATAATCGGGGGTACTATCATCTCCCTATTAAGGGCTCGTAGTATAAGGGGGAACATGCCAAGCCACAGGAGTCCACGTGATTTTCAGAGACCCCGCCCGAAAGCGTCAGCGCCTTCGTGGCGAGCATCTGGCCCTCCGTGAACTTGCACGAAAGGCCGAAGTCGATAATCTTCAGGCAGTTCTTCTCAATGGGCTCCTCTGGTGGGATTTTCACCCTTGTATTAACTGACAGTCCTTAATCGGGATTGTAATAAGGGGGTACTATCATCCCTATTAAGGAGTATTATCTCCCAAGGCTCCTCTGGTGGGAAATTTTCGGGAGGATCTTTTCGGGGCGCCTGAGGACCGAAAGCAGCTGTAATTCCTTCAAGCCCCAAACCCTCCAAACCCGAAATTCTGCTTCAACCCCAAACACCCCAAACCCCCCAAAATCCCTTCAATCCAAAAAATTAAATACAAATAAACCCTCTCACTCCCTCCCGCACAAAACAAAACAAAAGAAGAAAAGACGCAAACTCTTGGTGACCCCGACAACAGCCCACCTCCTCCCCGCCCACCCACAACCCACACTAAACCCCTAAATCCCTCTAAATACCCCCAAGGAGCGAAAGAACTTCTTGGTGGGCATACCTGCAAAAAGAAACCTTAAACCCTAAACCTTGGTGATGACTCAAACCCTAAACCCTAAACCCTGGTGATCACTTGAGCCCTAAAACCCTCCTTGGTGGTGAAGAGAAAGTTCTCCGGCTTAAGGTCGCGGTGAGCGACCTCCCAGGAGTGCGGGCGCGGTGTTTAAAGGGTCCAGGGGTTTAGGGTTTAGGTGCTCGCGTGTTCAGGGTTTAGGGGGGTTGGTCTTGGGGCTTAGGATGTAAGGTTTTGTTGGGCTTAAGGATGCTCGTGGCTTTTTGAAGGGGATAACAGCTAGGGCTTACAGATTGTGAGGGATGGAGGCTTTTCCTGGTTGAAAAATGAGACCGGCGTGGATGTTCGGAACGATGTAATTAAAGCCACAAGCTCTAACTTGAGCACTTGAACCTGAAACCTCCCTCTGACATCTCAGTGACACGAGCTTTGCAGCCACAGCGATCATGTTTATATGTTGACGGTGCTTCTTACTATGCGAGTGCCCCTGACTTTGCTTCTGTCCCCCTTCCCGTGGAAGTGTAGGTGGCGCGGGGACCGTGTGAGTGCATGTGGGTGGTGTGGGTGGGAGTACGGGAGGTGGGGTAAAGGCGGGGTAAAATAAGGAGGTCAGGAAAGGCGAGAAGAAAGGGGGCGGAAGGGAGGCAGGGGGGTTTGGACATGTCGAGAACACAGGATCAGGAGGATAGTGGGAGGTCGGGGAGCATAAAGAAAATCCATTTGCATTGAAACGCCAGGCGATGGAATAACAACAAAAAAACCAACAAAAAAGGTAGAGTAGTAGAATAACCAGAGAAAGCCATGCGACAAAGAATACGGGCCTGGAACAAGAAGCCAGGGGAGAGGGCGCAGCAGAAAACAACAGGCAGCATAGTGATAACCACCAAGTGGTCGTTCCTGTTTATGCGGTGCCGTATAATAGGGACGACCTAAGAAGGGAACCCGCTGTCGGGAACCACCCAAGTGCAGCAATGGGGCCTTGTTCCCGTGCATGTAGTGCACGGCGCGGATGACTTGCTGCATCAAGGTGGCAGCAATCACCTTGCATGCAATAGTCTCGCCCGGCCCTGAACCCTGGCTAGGGTTTAGGGTTTAGGAAGGGTTTAGCGTTTAGGGTTTGGGGTTTAGGGTTTAAGGGCTTAGGGTCATGAAGTCTTTCGCCAGCCCGCCTCACTAAAGCTCCCCGCGTCGATGATGCGGTCGAAAAGCTCACCGCCCCCACAGAGCTCCATGACCAGATAGATATTCCTCCCAAGGGTTTAGGGTTTAGGGTTTAGGGTTTTCCAGTAACCTGGGGCAATTCAAGGTTAACCTTGGGATTAGAAGGGGATTTTACTGCCCCAAAAAGGTTAAGGGTTACCTACTCTACTACTATAGGTGAATGTGGCACAGAATGCAAGAAGCCTCGAGATCGTGAGCCGGAAACAGCCCCGCAACAGCGGTCTTCTACACCCTAAACCCTGAACCCCAAACTATGGGCCCTAAACCCGAAACCCTCAACCCTAAACTTCCCTACCCTAGACCCTTAAACCTTAACTCCAAACCTTCAGCCCCTGAGCCACACCAGCTGGGAGTTGGGCGTCTTTAGCTCGGCTCAGGCGTCGCACGCCCAACTACTACCCTAAACCCTGAACAACCCTAACCCCAAACCCTAAACCCTGAACCCTATAAGCTTCCCTGCGCCCTCAGCTTCTCCCCAAACCCTGAGCTTCCCTCAGCCCTCACAGACTTCCCCCAGCCTTCCCCTAAACTTCCTCTCCAAACCATACCTTAATACAAAACCTACCTTTTTTGTAGGCTCTTATCACGAAAGCCCCTATAGGATTCTTGGGTAACCGACAAAAAAGTAGGTTTTGGCTTGTTGGGGTTCATCGGCCTTTTTCCAGGTCGGTGGATGTCTTGAAAGGGGCGAAGAAACACCGAGTTGCGGACGCCCTAAACCCTAAACCCTAAACCCTAAACCCTAAACCCTAAACCCTAAACCCTAAACCCTAAACCCTAAACCCTAAACCCTAAACCCTAAACCCTAAACCCTAAACCCTAAACCCTAAACCCTAAACCCTAAACCGCCTCAGGTCTTCGAAGCTCTCGTAGAGCTTGATGATGTTCGGATGGTCCTAACATCATTGGAGGTTCATGAGTACTTATATCCTGCCAGTGGTGGCTTTGTGACTCCCAGAGAACTCTACAAATCTCCCTGATCTCGCAGCGCCTTAAGGCTTTCAGCTCACAAGAACCCCCTTGCCCTCTGCTCAGAGGTCCATCATTTTCATGATCGCAATCTCTTGCTTGAACCGCTCCATGTTCTTCATCTTCCCCTGCCAGCGAGAGAAAGAAGCCAGATTGGTGACAAGTTGGGGCGATGCTTCTTTGAAATCAGGGAGTTGCCTTGCCGAGTACGCTGCCCTTCAGCCCAACCAGCTGCAGCTTGAAGCTAGGATCACAGGCTGTTGGTAGTGGGTGTGGCTTCTTAAAGGCCGAGTGGCATACGTATTGTTGAACGCAGAATGTCCGACAACCCCAAGAATCTTGTGTCACTTAAGCTACTAATTGCTACACCGAAAAAACAAAAAACATTCTTCCTGATTAAGAGCAATACAGGAATTATTTTTCAACATTCTTTTGGGGCTCTTGAGGAAATAGTAGAATAACATCCAGACCCTGCTCTCCACCTTGGCGATTGTCTTCACGGCGCGCACGAGGCCTGTGGCCTTGTTCTTCGCCTTGCAGACATAGCCATAGGACCTCGGCATGCCAAGTAGGTGAACCGGTACTTATATATATAATATAATATAATATCATATCATATAATATCATAATATATTATAAATAATATAATATAATATAATATAATATAATATAATATAATATAATATAATATAATATAATATAATATAATATAATATAATAATATATATACATATAGATATTACTTATATATATATATGTAGTGGCCGTTGTGCAGCATCGTGTCAAAAACTCGCCTGATGTCGCGTATGTTGGTCAAAAATGGAAGAATCTCACATGCTGCTTTGGCCTGGCAAGCGGTGCGCATCTTCGGGCCGGCCCGAGGCGGGCGTGCAGCGTTTGCAACATCGCTTCTCATGCGTCGGTAGACGAGACTAGAGTATTCAGCAAAAATGGCGCCTGTCGAGAGCCAAGTAGTGGTTTTGGGAGTTGTGGGGAGCAAGGTTGAGGGGCCCCGCTGGAACTTTCAAAGCATGCTCCATACAGATTTGCAGGATAACGTTGTCGGAAGCGCACTGAGCCTGAAATGCTACACAACCCAAACTCTAAACTGGGAGTCCGGTCCCTTCTCCGAGCTTCTTCTTTTCCAGCTCGTAGAAGTCTAGAATCTTCCCTGTCAGGCATTGAAACATGACCAGGGTTCTGTGTTGAGAGGACGGTTCAGGGTGCAAAGCCTTGCATGAGATACGCATACCTTCATGTTCCTTGTTCCCATGCTTCGGCTTCACCGACATGTTGGTATTCCTAGAAACTGTACCGCATCCTCTCCGCCCTAAACCCTAAACCCTAAACCCTAAACCCTAAACCCTAAACCCTAAACCCTAAACCCTAAAC